GGTCGGGAATAGCGGAGGCCCGCTCCGCCATCCCGCTATCCGACCTGATCTGGAGGCTGGGGGGGGAGAAGCAAGCCTGCTTCTCCCCCCCACCAGACAACTCGGCAGGAGAGCCCCTCCGCCAGCCCCACAAGCTCGGGGGACAGCGGGAGAGGCGCAGCGCGCCCTTCCCGCTGTCCCCCGACTTGGCTGGAAGGCTGGCGGGGGGAGAAGCCTGCTCCTCCCCGTCGCCAGCCCCGCAAACTCGGGGGACAGCGGGAGAGGCGCAGCGCGCCCTTCCCGCTGTCCCCCGACTTGGTTAGAAGGCTGGCCCAGCCCCGCAAACTCGGGGGACAGCGGGAGAGGCGCAGCGCGCCATCCCGCTGTCTCCCGACATGGTTTGGAGGCTGGCGGAAGGCTTCCTCCTCCCCCAGGCCCGCAAGCTCCCAGAGCGATGCCAAAGCTGCGCGCAGCTTCGGCATGGCTCTGGGTCCCGTTCTGGGGAGGGGGAAGCTCGGGCTTCCCCGCCCCAGCCCCGCGCCTGGCGGGGGGGGAATAAATTTTTTTTGCCTTTATTTCCCCCCCCCCCAAATCTAGGTGCGTCCTATGGACCGGTGCGTCCAATAGTCCGAAAAATACGGTATATTTGTTGTTGCTCATAAATAAAAGTTCATGTGTCACTTTTTGGGTCTAGAAGCGCCCCTCCCCACCGCACCCCACTGCTGTGGCTCACATTAAAAAGAAAAGAGAAGGGACTTCTGACTTTGGTTTCTTAAATAGTAGCATTCTATGTTGCATGGCAAGCGCTCTTAAAAAGGTTTCCCCCCCTCAAAAGCAGTTTGTAGCATAACTTGGGGAAATTTCTTTAAATGGAGGATTTAAAATCTACCTTTTTGCTTTGTCTAATAGGACATGGCAAATGTTACAATAGAGTTAAGGAGGATTTGATCCTACCAAGTTTAAAGCATTTGCCTTGTAGACCGATGGGTGTTATGTTAGAATTATGTGTGAAGTGAAAAGGGGAGTGAGTTACCAGAAGGCCCTTTGTTAAGATGAGTGCTCAGGTGATCTCAGAGTGCGTTCTGGATGATGCAAAAGTGTTGTATGCCTTGTTTGTGCAATAGGTAACATTTCATGTTGGAGGTCTTGCTCCAGTTGTATTTTCCAAAGGATCTACGACTGTATAGATAAATTGGATATGAGGATCTATGACTATCAAGTGTAGGCTGTATGATGAACCTGAATGATAAAATGTGAAGGCTTCAAGCTGTTGAGCCTTGAGTGTATTGTGTGCCTGTTGTCAGTTAATTAATGTGTATCTCTGCTGCCTTCTCACGGGAGTGCTGATGTGCTTTTCCCCCTTGTAGAATTCACCACAGATCCATACTAGTGTCTTGCAAGTTCCCATTCCTTCTTTTTCACCAGCATCCAGACGTTCAACAGAATCAACTGATAAAGTTATTGCAAGTGATGCCAGGTATGGATACTTTACCCGAAAAAGAAAGAAAGAAAGCCACTTGTGGTGATAAAAATGTGCTGAATAATGACATAATGTCTGTTTGATAAAGCAGATTAAGGTCTACAGCTTCAGCAACAGTGTGGCGGTGGTGGTACGTTTTCCAAAAATGCAAGGTTGTTAAGACAATGAAATGGCAAAATGGAGTAAATTACGAACACATCTTACATGGGGATTTTGGTTCAAAGTGTTCTGCGTGTACATGAAAATCACATATACACAAACCCTTGGAGCTGTTCTGCAGCTAGCAGCGGGGGGGGGGGGGAGAGAGAGAGAATCCCCAGCACTCTCAGAGCCTGCACTCTGCACCAGCAAGCAAGAGGGGGAGCTGAAAAGCTATTTTTGTGCCCAGTAACCCAAGCAGACCCTTTATTAGAGAGCATATTTTTATTAGATGCCTTAAATTCACCATGTTCTAACTTGTTGCTTTTTACAGTGAAAAACACACACCGATGGCATCTATGGAAACACAGCTAGGCGACACAAAATTGTAAGTATTTTGTAATTGTGATATTGCACAGGGATATTTTAAAAGCTGAGAACAATTTAATGTGATGCCTTGTTTATATTGTTTCTTGCTTCCTTCCCTCACCCTGATGCTTGCTGTTTTAATCTACTTCAGTTTTCCATTTCTATTGCAGTATGAAGCGCCTTCAAACAAGCTATATAGCACCAGGGATTTACAGAATTTTGTAATATATTCCTAAAGTATATGTGGTTGCCTTTTGCACTAAGACAAAGGAGAGATTGGCTGGCATAGTGGACTGCTAGTATGCCCAAATTCTTAATCATTATCACCCATGCGTAATTTAATGACTTAGTTAAATGCTTTGCTGAATTGGGGTGTACTTTTTTCTAACAGAATTTCTAACACAAAAGTTCTGCACTGACTACTTCAGTATAATATTCTTACTAGACTCTCTTAGTAAAGAATCGGAGCAGAAATGGACAGTATGAGAAGAATATTGTACTGAACAATGTGTGCCTTTTGGCAGTTTGCGGTTAGTAAGTGGTACTTCAGTGGCATTTGGTGGACTTTTATTTCCTTCAGAATGCATTTGACAGAGGCTCAAATCATAATAACTTGCTCTGGAGGGAAGTCTTAATGGTTACTAAATACAGCACTAGGGAGATGCGAAAGAGAGGGCTAGTTTAGATGTTACTTGAAGGTCCCACCCCATGGAGGTGCATGAGTCCTGCTTGCTGGACCTGCGCATTCAAGGGGGGAATGGAGTGTCTAAATTGTGGCCTGTGCAGTTAGGCCTGAATTCTGTCATCAATTCCTCAGATATGGAAATCAGCTGTGGGATTAGGTCTGCTTGTTCCCACACAAACAAGCACATTCATTCACCCCCTTTGTGTGATGAGCCAAATATAAGACTCTGTAACTACCATTTGAACCAGCCCTGGGTAATACAACATTCCATTAACTGAAAGCAAACTGTGGTGAAAGGAGATTTTACTACAGCTTTAGTGTGATATCTGAATTGACAAATTGTAGTTACATCTCTGGAGGCCACTCCCCCTACAGGCTGGAGTGCAGAACAGATGGAAACTAAAACCAGATGAGCCGTTCTGATTTTGAGCTGGCCGATATATTTGGCGACCTGATTATCACGAATCATGTTTGAATTGAGCTGGTGCTCTTGCAGAAAAGTTAAAATGGCCCACATCAGCATTAATCCACTTCTTCTGCTACATAATTAAGAGTGCACAATTACTCGGAAGTAAGTTGCACTATGTTCAGCAGGACTTGCTCCTAAATAGGTATGTGTAGGATTGTAGGTCTAAGTTACTTGGAAAGTGCACAAATGCCATCGCATTGGGGAGAAGAGAGGCTGAAAAAAGCAATTACATTAGCTAAGTACACAATTTTCTGGGTTTCAAGCATGTGTATTATACTTAGGTTGCAATTCTGAATACATTTCTTCAGCCTCTGTAATCAATGAAATGGTGGTTTACTTTTTGAATGACGCTATGGCTTCTAAAGTACATGAAATGCAGAACAGAAAAGCATGCTCATTGACCGTATGTCTGAAACATTGAACAGCTACAGTTTTGGATGCATTCATACCCTCAGTCTGAAAAATAGCATGCAATTTGATGTTTTGGGTGTATAAATTATCAGCATGTAGCTTGAAAAATGGGAAATTTGTGTTGAATGCTGTGTGTGTGTGCATATCACTGCAAGTTAGTGTTGGGAAAGAAATATGGTTCAGTGTGCATTTTAATGTACACCTACCTAATACACCCCACAGTCTGCAACAATATGTGAATCAAAACCCAGCAATCCTGTGGAATTCACACTTCCCTGAATTTTGCAATGCAGTACTCAAACTGAAAATGTTTTTACAAAAATGCATATATTAAGGGGGAATGTGTATATTAGTGAGAATTGCTTGCCAAAATGTGTACTATATTTAGGCAAAATTACATACAAAGTTATTAGGAAAGATGTTGATGAATTTTCATGTGAATTTCTTTATTGTGAACTGGGACTGAGGGTTTCTTAACCCTTCCCATGCCTATTATCACCTTCAAAGGCTGCTCCCAGCCAGGTTTATTTCAGTTTTGGGGGAAATGATTAAAATTGTCTTGGAGGGGTGCAGCGTGCATCTTCAATAAATAATATGTGGGAGTAGAAAACCACATGTTTTCCTTGTCATGTATAGTTCAGCCCTTAATATCCTCATTTTTGTAGATGGATGGTAAGAAAGATAATAGGTCTATAGCTATCTACTCAGTTCATGCAAAAATTAAGATTTGAACCATGGTGTTTCTTGGTCTAGAAAGTCAGTTTTCTGGTGTAATCTACTGGTAGTGGTCAGTGAAATGGTATTACAGTCATTCCTTAGATCCCGAACATTCTGGAACTCTGACGTTTTGGATCCTGGATGCTGCAAACCCAGAAGTGAGTGTTTCGGTTTTCGAACATTCTTTTGGAACCCAAACGTCCAATGGAGCTTCCACAGCTTCTGATTGGCTGCAGGAGCTTTCTGCAGCCAATCAGAAGCCGCGATTTGGTTTTTGAACATTTTGGAAATTCCAACGGACTTCCAGAACGGATTCCATTTGACTTCCAAGGTACGACTGTGCAACCATTCAGATTCATATAGGTGTCACTATAGTTGAGAGGGAGACAAAATTGCTTTGACTTGCCCTTTCTTCCCCCTTTCCTCTGTTTAAATAAAGTTGCATCTTGCTTTAACCTTTATTGTTATTAAAAGATTGTGTTCAGGATGCAAGATCAGTTACTTATTTTTCTTTTCTTCTTTTCCTGTGATTCTAGAACTTCAGCTCTGCAAAAATCCAGCAGTCTTGGAAACTTGAAGAAAGAAGTCTCTGATGTGCGTAGGCCTATGTCATTGTTTAAATTAACCGTTAGCTGTTTCTTAAAAATGCTGACCCAAACTTGTAGGTTGTATTCAGCATAGCACTAAGCAAAATGTTTCATCAGTTCAAGAGTTTCTTTTTGTGCAACTAATACTTCCCCCTTTTCCTCCCCACATATACTTCCCCCTATATCTGTTCTGACTCTGCCCTCCCCCCAACCTTTGGAGCAGATTTGGCGATGAGGTGGGGCACAGAGGAAGGAGAAAGGGAAAACCTAATTGCGCTGGTGCTAATCCTTGGACTAGCACAACTATTGAGTTGAATATCATCTGTCCTTCCCTCTCGTTCAGTTCTTTCCTCTGAGGTGTAGCTCACACATGATGATTGCAGTATATCAGCTAATGACTTGCATATGTAAAACAAGCTCTTTTTGTCTGATCTCAAATCATGGGGAAAGAAATGGGGCTGTATGTTCCTTTGGATGTATATATCCATTTGTTCAATAAATCCTTATGACTTAGACTCTGTTCAAAGGCTCTCTCAAAGAAAATATTATCTTACCCTTTTCTAATAATTGCAGTTCAGTTTTGTTCAAATAAGGAGTTTCTGAAACCTCTGAAATGCTTTTATAGGCTGCCCTGTATACAGCCAAATTAATAAACTCTGGTAAATGTTGTAAGTAGACTAACATGTTTTAGTTGAAATTAATTGGATGTATTGAATCAAAGTTTATTTAAAGTGTTTAATGCTTCAAACTTTTCCCCAGCAGGACAAAGAGTCTGTGCAGAAGCAGGAAGAGGTAATGTTTCTCTGTGCTGTGTGTTGAAGAAGAAATTGCAGGCGCAATCCAGAGAAAGTTGCACTCACCTAAGTCCCGATGAAGCAGATGGAATTAGATGCTCCTTAGATTATATCCTTGCTCATTTTCTTGGCTTGTTCATCAATATTAAGCCAGAGTTCTGGTGCAGTGGTCAATTTTGGCCTAATGTGAACCAGGATCTTCACACCAAAACTGTTGTTCTTGCACTGTTTCATATAGTTTATGAAGCCTTAGGTGATAGAAAACAGTCATTGACTCCAAATTACTGTAGCATCCTGGTAGCACCTCCTCCCCTTTACAACAGTACCAGCATGCTGGTAAAAAGCACATTCTGAACCACCAGAGTATACAATGCCTTCTTTCTTTGAGTTGTGTGTTAGTGCCTTCTGAACATACATAGAACGAGGGTGGGGGAGTGGAGATCTTAAGCCTAGTAGACCTATCTTTTACTCCTGTTTACTAATTTTTTTAAAAGCAGGGACAGCTAACCTGTGGCCCTCAGATATTGCTAAACTACAGCTCCCATCACCCCTGAGCGTTGACCATTTTAGCTGGGGCTGATGGAAGTGGGGATCCAACAACACCTCCAGATTAGCAACCCCTCTTCTAAAGACTTACATTTTTATGAATCAATTTGCCTTTTAAAATTATTCAAAATAGTTTTTAACAGAAGATATCACTCCGTAATTTGCAAGTACAACCTATTGAAGGGCTGTAGCTCAGTGGTACAGCATCTGCTTTGCATGCAGAAAGTTGCATGTTTAATCCCAGGCATCTCCAGGTAGGGAGAAACCCCTGCCTGAAATCCCAGAGAGCTGCTGACAATCAGGGTAGACAGTATTGAACTAGATGGACCAATGGTCTGATTCAATATAAGGCTACTTCGCATGCTACCCAGCTGCAAACACTAATTTATCACATGTGTTGCTGAACCCTTGAGTACCATGGCAGATTTTTAACTTTTCTTTTCCTGAACAAACAGAGCAAAGCATCGATGGAGAGTAGCAAATATGGAACCCTCCCTCCCAAATCCCCAGGTGAAGAAGATGCCTTTGGGACTCGGAAAGGCCGGTCTTCTTTTGGGCGAGGCTTTTTCAAGATCAAAAGTAGCAAAAGGACAGCAAGTGCACCTAACTTGGGTAGGTTCAGTAAAGGCGGAGTTTTTTCACGATGTATATTTAAACTAGGGGAAGATATTCTCCGCTGGCATATTTTAATGGGGAGATGCAGACGTATGAACAAGAACCACTTTCATCAGTAGATGAAACAAAATTTTAAATGCTATGGATTCCAGTTCTTTCGCAGAACAATGGGCAAGTAAAGCATGTAATCTCCTGCACTCTTGTAAATTCTCCGTGGTAATTTGGCGCAAAACCTATTGTACATGTTTCATTCCCCCCCCCCCAAATGATATTTATTCAGAGTTTCATCAATACATATAAAAAACCCCAGCCCTAACCCAAAAAGGAAAACAGAAAAGAAAAAAAAAGGAAAAAAAAAGAGAAAATACAAATCTCAAATTACAGTTTTTCATTTGCTTAATTCTTGAACCTCCTCACACCTCCCTTTTTGTATTCTAGTTTAGTTCGTTATTTCAGCAAATTCTTCCCATATTTCTCAATTTTAGTTTAAATAGTTAATCTTCACACTCTATCTTATTTATTAATCAACATAACCTTTCCCTCTTTTAATATAATCTATTATTCAATTTACCTTACTCCATTTAACCTTATCTTATGTTAAAAATCTTAAAATATCAAAATCACATCACATTCATGCATTTCTCCTTAAAAACATTTCTACTAAAGCCAATTTAGTTCCTTTCTGACAAAATCCCTCAAATTTCAATAATATTACACTAATTCCAAAGTTAACATAAAAAAAAAATTCCCTTCATATTTCTGATTTTCATCCAACGTCCCTTCTTCCTGGTTTCGGGTCATATCAGTCCTTTCTGTCCATTACTTAGTCCATCAATCTGGTGTTCTAATGTCCGAGGCCCTTAAATCTCTTCTAGGCCCCTTCTGCAAATTTTTTTGTTCTTGTTTGTGCTTACGCAGTTCTTTGTCTATTGTTGGTTTCTGGGGGAGTGGGTCTCCGGAGGGTTCCATCCAGTAATAATTTCCATTTTTCTTCATCTGATTGTCCCCTTCCCCCCGGTTCCACTCCCGATCTTCATCTTTGTAGTCCAAAAAGTATTTGTCCAAATAGTTGTTCACCTGTTTCACAGTCCCACTAAAGTAAAAAGCTTCCTTGACTTCAAATACTTCCCAGCTCTCAACCTATTGTACATGTTTCAAATTAGGTATGTTGTGTGGTAACAACAACAACAATTTGTTTGTACCACGCCAATCTGACTGGGTTGTCCCAGCCATTCTGGGCAGCTTCCAGCATAAGGCCCTCTTCCTGGTTCCCTGTTGCTTTACTTCTTGCAGGGAGGAAACCGCCAGAGTGGATCTCAGTGTCCGAGCTGAAGGAGACGCTCCTTCAGGTATACTGGGCCGAGGCCGTTTAGGGCTTTAATGGTCAGTACCAACACATTGAATTGTGCTCAGAAACATACTGGGAGCCAATGTAGGTCTATTAGGGCCAGCATTATACGTCCTGATGCCTGCTCTCAGTTATCAGTCTAGCTGTCACCTTCAAAGGTAGCCCCGCATAGAGCACATTGCAGTAGTTCAAGCAGGAGATAACCAGAGCATGTACCACCCTAGCAAGACAGTGTGCAGGCAGGTAGGGTCTCAGCCTGCATACCAGATGGAGCTTGTAGACAGCCACCCTGGATATAGAATTAACCTGTCCCTCCTTGGACAGCTGTGAGTCCAAAATGTCTCCCAGGCTGCACACCTGGTCCTTCAGGAGCACAGTTACTCCATTCAGGACCTGGGTGTCCCCCACACCTGCCATTCCTCTGTCTCCCAGAAACAGTACTTTTGTCTTGTCAGGATTCAGCCTCAATCCATTGACTGCCTTCCATCCTCCAAATGGCTCCAGACACTCACACAAGGACATCCACTTCTTTCACTGGTTCTGATTTAAAAGAGAGTAAGAGCTGGGTATCATCCACATACTGGTGAACACCCAGCCCAACTCCCTTGATGATCTCTCCCAGCGGCTTCATATAAATGTTAAAAAGCATGGGGGAGAGGATGGAGCCCTGGGCACCCCCCAAGTGAGAGCCTAGGGGTCTGAACACTCATCCCCCAACACCACTTTCTGAACACGGCCCAGGAGGAAGGAGCGGAACCACTGTATGACAGTGTCCCCAGCTCCCAGCCCCTCTAGATGGTCCAGAAGGATGTCATGGTTGGTGGTATTAAAAGCCGCTGAGAGATCCAGCAGAACCAGGAAACAGCTTTCCCCTTTGTTCCTAGCCTGCCAGAGGCAAATGCCAGTATGTGCTAGTCATGCAGCCTTTCCACTGCAAATAGTGGCAAACAAATCATATTGGAAAGAGATATTTAAGAACCCTGCAAGGAAATATTTAAATGTGAAGTGGTGGGAAAGTAATTGTTGCACATTGTTCTGTTTTTGTAGATTCTCAAAACTCTTCCTGAATTGTTTGGTTTGAGCAATGGAATAAGTGCTAATTCTCATTTGGCCTATTTGTGTGTTAGCTCTCTGTGTTATGCATGCATCGTTTTTTTGGGGGGAGGGGGAATTCTTCTTCCCTTCCCTTCCCTTGTCATTGTCATGTTTTGATTTGTCTTATCTTGTTGCCCCGGGTGTGTTCCTCCCCCTTGTGCTGCGTGTGGTTATGTGCGTTATTTGGATGTCTGAAGATCGCAGTCGAAGTGCAAGTGCACCCACCTTAGGTATAGTAGACCTGCATGCATGATTGGCGCCATGTTCTGAGAGCTGCTATTGCTCAGCCACAGCCATGCAGACCTCTGTACTGGAACGTTCATCCGTTTCTTTGCCGCTCATGCACACTACTAAAATCTGGCTGCATTGTTTAGTTGTAATGGCCTATACTAACAAGAACTGCCATAGAAAAGTGCTTGAGAAAATCCAAACCAAGTGAATTGCAGCATCTTTCTGACATAAGAGGGACTAAATGTGTTTTTGCCTAGAGGCAACCTTGGCATGAAGGAGATGAGATGCTTCAGGCATCATGCCCCAAGAAGAGCAAGTCCAAGTATTCCTTGAGACCAGTTTATTTGTTCCTTTCTTCCCACAGGGATGGTTGCAGGCTCTTGTGCAGCTTACCCCAGCTGGTGCCCTCCAGATGTTGTCAGAGTCCAGCTCCCAGCCGTGTTGGGTGGGGCTGTGGGGAGTTTCAGCCCACAGCATCTGGAGGACACCATGTTGCTTTAGTATAACAAATGAGAAGGCAACATGGGGCAAAGAAATCAATGGAACTTGCTTCCTACCATTATATTTAGGACCCACTGTAAGAATTCCAGGTTTTAAAGAATCAAAACAGTGAAGTATATTCACAATGTAACATGGCCTCCATTCACGTAATCCAAGCAGCCTGCTTGACTTGTCTATATAGCTTATCTCAGGTATCAATGACTTCTTCTTTCAAACAATCACAGTGTTTCTATAGCTGCTCTGGCTAACTTGCAAATACACGCATTATAATTCATTTTTGGCCATTACTGTTTACTATTTTGAATAATTTTATATGGTAGTGTTCTTGTCATTGCTTTTGAGCATTCTTTTTAAGCTTCTTGTAGAGAGAGTTCACACATATATGTTTAGCTATGCATCTAATAGTCCCATGTAAAATGGTAAACTATGAGCTTGAGGTGAGGACACATGTGTTTGCAAACACACATATCATACATGTGTGGTCATTTGGGAGTTAGTGCTGTGGCTCTCTGGTGAGTGCCCTTCTACTGGCAAACCTGGGTTTGCTATTGTGTAATGTGAAAAGAGGTACTTGGCATTTTGTTGGTTTGTTGTTTTCTGTCCCTATTTGTATGGCATTTGCTGGCACATCTCTGCTGAAGCATTGCATTGCTGATATATCCTTAGTTTTTTTTAAAAAAAATAAAATAAACAAATGTATGTAAATAAGCTGTTCGCCCAATCCTAAATGTTATTATCTTTCATAAATTATTCGCTCAGTAGTAGGGGGATTGTCAGCAGCTTCAGAAATAGTTCCAGTCCTGGATGACTTTATTGGCTTCGCTGATGCTAGAGCAACATAAGTGTCAATGAGGAGTTATTAGTGTTAATGTTTTTAAACCCTTTTTCTGTTCATAGAGCATCCAGAGTGGCTTACGGCAAAGAAACAAAAATGTAATCACTACAGTTAAAAATGATCACGATCAACGCAAAATACAAGTTAGAACTATGTAGTCTAAAAGCAGCAGACACATTTTATAAAATCAAAATAGCAACAGAAATTAGACATTTCAAAGCCTATAAAAACAAAAATGTTTTCAGCTTCTTCCTAAAGTGGGTTTTCCCCTAAGGTAGGTGTGGGGAAGTTTTCACCCTCCAGATGCTGCTGAAGTACAACTCCCATGAGCCCCCCAGCAAGGATGGTCCATGGCCAGGGATGACAGCGAGTTCTTGAGCAACATCTGGAGGGCCATGAATTCCCCACATCAGGTCTAAAAGGCGGTATGCTTTTTTGTTTTGTTTTTTACAGTTGCACTGTATCAGTCTCTTGCACACCTAGTGTTTCATTATTAATTGCTGATGATCACCCAACCGTATTCACTATATCTCCTTATTCCTGAACTTTTATCAGATACATGAAGGGCTGTCAACACAGTTGCTGAAAGCCTTTGCCTTCCAGACAGTCACAGAAAGCTATGCACATTTTTACCCTGTGTTTGCCTTAGGGCTATAGTTAGTGTATTGTATACTTTTGTAATAAAGGGCGATGGGATAAAGATCAGTCATAGCAGAGATAATAATCAGTATTAGTTTATTAAGAAGATCTTTAATTGAATGATACTTTAAATGCCAAGTAAAGGAGCACACAATTAAATTACCTTTCTTTCCATTCATGTGACTTTTTAGCCAAGGTTGTTTCACAAATTAGAAATGGAAACTTAAGGTGATCCAGTTGAAGAACTACAGACCGACATACTATTAATTGAGATTTGCTTTTATTTAATAGCTGAGACAGAAAAAGGATCTGCAGACCACCTCGATTTGGCTGGCTTGCCGCCTCGACCAAAAGGTGGAGCAGAGGGGCCTCTGACTCCACCTTCTCCTGACTCCAAAAAGAAAGCAAGAGGCATCAAGAAGTTGTTTGGAAGGTAACTGGGAGATGACTCAATTCATTATGCTGTTAAGTAGAGCATGCCAGTCCAGAGTTCCGCTCTGAGGCTGAGGTGAACATGATGTTGGGGCTTTTCTTAACTACGTTTGGGGATGGATTGCCTGCCCCCTTCCGTGCGTGCTGGCTTCCGTCACAGTATCCCATCAGAAGCAGTTTAGTCATGACCCGGAAAGCTGTCTGTGGACAAACGCCGACTCCCTCGGCTTGAAGCAAGATGAGCACCACAAACCCCATAGTTTCCTTTGACTGGACTTAATCGTCCAGGGGTCCTTTACCTTTTACCTTTACAGTGCTTTAAGTGCTGCAGGTGAGCTTTCCACCCTCTCTGGTTGGTGTCTGTGCCAGACAGGAAGCTGCCTTAGATGGCTCTTCTTACACTCTTCATACTGCAAATTCTATACTTCTTTTAATGGCTTTCCCTTATCTTGGCCTTTGCTTAGACTCAGGAGAAGCCAGTCTACCACGTTTAATCCAGATGACATGACAGAGACTGAGTTCAAAAGAGGAGGAATAAGAGCAACAGCAGGACCAAGATTAGGCTGGTCGAGAGATCTTGGACAAACCAATAAGTAAGACACAAATACTGTTTATGCATGCAGTTGGAGGAAAATGCATTAAATGTGTCACGCTTCTCTAACATTCTCAACTTAATTTTAGTGAATTGGACATGCCATTTGCTAAATGGACAAAGGAGCAAGTTTGCAACTGGCTTCATGAACAGGGCTTGGGTTCTTACATAGGTCATGGCAAACACTGGATACTTTCTGGTCAGACTCTGTTGCAAGCTTCTCAGACTGATTTAGAAAAGGTAAGGATCCTGTATGTTTCTTGCATATGCATTTTGAGTGACAATTACAACATTGTGTCAAATCACCCAGTTGTGTATGTTAAATGGTGGCTAAAGTATTTGTTTAAAGAAGGAAACTATCCTGGATAGGTATACTGGTGTGCTATCAGCCAGTGACAGCAGCCTGGGCTATGAGAAAATGCAGTGCAATGGGTGTGGGCTGCTTTTTCCAAGCTGCATTTCGTTGAAAAACAAAAAATGGATCCATCACTTTTCTATAGAAATGCTCAAGGTTTTGTACAAGAATGTTGGAATTAATTTTTAAAAAACCATTAAAATGTAAGAATAGCAGCAATATGCAGATTGTTCCAATTCACCCTCACGCTTTTAAAATGCCTGGAACAAACAATTATCACTAGCCATACAAAACTGAGCAGTAGCACGGCCACCTGCAAGCTTCCTTGAAGAGAGTTTTCTGTCATTGCAACACTGCTACTGAAAAACCCTAGCCTGAGTATTGCAGCCCCAGTCCATTTGGGATGTGTTCTGTGCAAAGGCACTGTGAAATTGGTGACAAATTGGTTGCAAACCATGTATGCCTCACTTTTTGTCCCCACCACGAGCGTGTGCTTTCTCCTAGCTTCACTTGGTTTCACTGGACCAGAACTTATGGAGGAGCCATTCCTGGTCTCCCTGCTCCATTTGCTTTTCAGTAGATCTTTTTGGTCCATGCTTGCATCTTTAAAAGAACCAATATGACCAATTGCTCCAATCAAATATGAATGGGAGGTACTCAGTGTTCAGAATTCCCTAACCATCAGGCACATTTTGTGCTGGGCTGTTAGCCACTTGAGACCAAGTGAAGATGCCTGGGCACCAGGATGGTGCCTCACATCACCTCCACCTGGAGCTACATGCCTGTGGATCCTTGGCTCTGGACTGTGTTCACACACTAAGACCACATCCTGTAGAATTCTATCAGTTATATTTTACCTGCACAATCAGAAAGAATTTCAGGAACTAAAATGCTTCTTCTGTTCAACCTGAGCAGGAACATTGGAAAATGTTATAGCTAATTGTTATCACTTGTCTTCACTTACCCCATCCCACTACTCTGCTCACAGTTGTGAAGAATATTCCTATGTTATGAGTGGTCCGTGTCACCATTAAGAAAAAGAGGTTGGAATAGGCCAATATGTATGTGGAATGTCCCTGGATCAAGGGACTTTTCTTCTTCAAGTTCTCAAAGCTCTTATCCTAGCTCAAGGTGGTCATCTGAACCAGCCAGATGTTTAACTGAGAATTAATCACAATCAGTCCATCATTTGAAAAATAAGACTTGAGAGCCGTCTTGCCCCCAAATGGCAACTGGACATTCTGGTTTGGTGACGGCCATCTTGGTTTAAGAAGCCACTTGATGCCTACCTTATATAGTCAAACAAGAATGGATAGAGAAATTAGCAGGGCAGTCCTGTGGTGTTGGAGAGGAAGATTCCTTGGATGTAGTGGTTGCCCCGCTAAGGGCCATTTGCTATGGCCAGGATGGGAGGTGGCAGTTAACCCCCACTTTTGGGTGAGGGGAGTTTTATTTTTCCTCCATTGTGTTCTGCAGGAGGGATAAAAGTAAATGGGCAATTGTCACATAAAGTTCATTTTTATAGAGATACTCAACAAGGTTTCCCATTATCTTCACTGAGGTTTTAGCAGCAAATACAAGTATCTTTTAAACGGAACCTGGTTTTTGTCCCACATGTAGGAACTTGGAATAAAGCATCCATTGCACCGGAAAAAGCTTCAGCTCGCTCTTCAGGCATTAGGATCAGAAGAAGAGAACAACCATGGAAAACTGGATTACAACTGGGTTACAAGTAATGTCTTCTCATTTCTTTTGCCATTTCACCCTCACGCAGTGAAGAGTTTGCCTGGGTACGTCCCCCAGCCACGTGCAAGGAAGCCCTGTGTGCACTTTGCAGCCCACAGGGTAGCATTGTGCATGCTTTCTTTTAAGTTTCATTCTAGGTAGGTTTGTGGGTAGTTTCTGTTACAAACAAAAGGTAGAGTGTACTTGTGCACCTAAGTAACACACATTCTGTCCCAGAAAAAGCTGAAATACTTAGTTAAGCAAATTTGCAATTTACAAGTGGAAAATCAATTATTAAATTCTTGCACATTTAAAATACGCCATAAAACAATCGCATTGAACAAGTGTGTCTTCAAGAGCCGCTGGGATGCCAATACAGATGGGGGTCTCTCATATTCCAACAGGGAGGGCATTCCGCAGCACTGGGACCACCCCTGAAAAAGCCTGCCTTCAGATTGCCACAAATCATTGCACAGTGACTGTATCTTTTTATTTTCAGGGTGGTTGGATGATATTGGACTACCCCAGTATAAGACCCAGTTCGATGAAGGAAAGGTTGATGGCCGAATGCTTCATTATATGACTATCGTAAGCCAGTGTCCTTTTCTTCCTGTCCTTTTTATCATTCAGAGTACCCTAATTTTGACTTCCTTCTCCACTGAAACATGTGTATCCTAATCCTCCGCCCCATAAGACTCCCCAAAACATTTACTCTTCCAACTCCACTCCTTCAGGAAGTGGTATATTATGCTTTTATATATGTTGGAAGCCCCCAAGTGGCTGGGGCAGCCCAGTCCGATGGACGAGGTACAGATTATTATTATTATTATTAGTAGTAGTAGTAGTAGTAGTAGTAGTATAGTGTAATCTTACTTGCTTGAGTTTTTAAAAAGGCAAGTAAGAGGATGACATGATAGAGGGGTATTAGATGAGGCACCATGTGGAGAAAATGGATAGTGAGCCATTTCCCCTCCTAACCCTGTGCCAGGCAGTGAAGCTGAGTATTGCCTCTACAGTTCCAGGTGGTGGGATATCAAGTGAGAAAAGTTCTGTTGCTTTCAGTCCTGCTTGCAGGCTTCCGCTGGGCTTCTGGTAGGCCACTGTGAGAACAGGATGCTGGTCTAAATAGGCCCTTTGCCAAACAACAGCAGTGTTTTAATGTTCTTATACAGGGGAATCCTGAGGACAGCATTCATGTTGGTATCTGACTCTTCCAGTCTTCTTGGTCTCATTTATTGTTCTTGATCTCGTTTATGTGTCCTGTCCCGTTCCCAGGATGATTTACTGTCTTTGAAAGTTGTGAGTGTCCTGCACCACCTTAGCATCAAACGTGCCATTCAAGTTCTAAGAATAAATAACTTTGAGCCCAACTGCCTGCGCAGGAGACCATCGGATGAGGTGACCACTTCTACTTACTTACTTACTTACTTACTTACTTACTTACTTACTTACTTACCTACTTACACATCTCATTGATTCATTGCAATGTTTGTTCTGACAGTCAGTGCTTGTGTGTTTCCTTCATTTTCTTGCCTAGAATATTTTGCCCTACTTCAACTCTTGATCCCTTCCTTTATTTAGCAGGCCATACATTGATCACTGACTGTCAGCTTCATTGTATGGATTAATATCCTTATTCCTTATTATGTTTTAAACCTCTAGAACTGAGATCAACATTTAGTTTGCCTCCTTTGGTGTTTCTTTCTGCAAAGTATTTGCTCACTAGTATTTCTATGAAAATATGAATGTGATATTAGCGCTTTGGTGGTTGCTGCTGCTGCTGCTGCTGTTAATATCCCACGATAAGCCCTTTATGGACTGCCAGGTGTGAAGGTTTCTCCATGTTGTTCTAATTGTCTGTGTGCCTGGAGATTTGTTTTCTTTACAATTTATTTAATGCAGGAGAGTCAATTTGAAAGATGTGGGAAGTAAGTGGGTGAATTTTAAAAGCCCCAAGCCCTTACTTTCCATATATATATGAAGTCATATGATCAGGGCTTTATTAGCTGGAACTCATTGGAATTGAGTTCCGGCACCTCTTTGATGGGCGCCATTGACATTATAAGAAAACAAGGGAGGCGTTCATGGTGAGTTCCGGCAAAAAAAATAGCACTGCATATGATCAACATGGTCATAAATACAGGATAGTTCAAAATTTAAAAAAGAATGAGAAATGTTTATTATATATTTACAAAAGTATTGCAAACATCTTAAATACCTTGGCAGGAATTTAAAAACACTTGTAGTTTTAGAGATGGTACAAGAAACTTGAGGTCAAAATAGAAATTTGGAATAGAAATGATATGTAGTTTAAAAAGAATTTTAAGGAACCAGGGGAGAAGAGAAGTCATGGGATTCAGATAATCCCATTTTATGGATTTTATTGTTTTGATGCAAACTTTTCCCCCCCCCCCTTATTTTTAGTTTGTTGTTGTAGTATTTGTTAGTGTTTGCTTTCTTGTTTTGTTGTGATTTTGTTACCTTTGCAGAAAACCCAATAAAAATATTATTTAAAAATAAAATAAAATAAATAAATACAGGATTGTTCGGTTTGGAGGCGGAAGAATGGCTCAATGCAGATATGAATTGCAGTTTCACATTAATCCCATCGCTTATATGAAGGTGTTCCATAGTAACTTTATTAGGTACATCTTTTATGTCAGTCCAGCACAACACATGTAACATCGGCATCTTTCAGGCCACCAGGGGCTTTAAAAAACCTATTTCTGTACCCTAGGACTGCAGAAACAGGGTTGTTATACCATATCGTCGTGCACAAAGGCTTGGGTGAATAGGTCCTCAATTGGCAACAGAAGATGAACAACGTAGACACCAGTCGTACCTCAGGAGGGAGGGAGCTGGCAGCTCAAGCACCACCTCTGCTAAGGCCCTGTCCTCGGCCACTGCTGACCGAATCAACAGAGACCCACAAGGAGGGCTTCTCCTCCTGATCTTAATAGACAGGCTGGGGGTGCTCCTTCGGGAATCTGGGTCCCAAATTATTTAAGGCATAGTATGTTAGTCAACACTTTGACTTGGGGTTGGTAGCCTATAAGCAGCCAGTACAACACCTTTAACCCATAACTTGGGGTGGGGGACACATTTTGCAAGATCATCTGATCTTGATCTAGCTTGGCTCTGAGCATTTTGGGGCAGAAAGGTCAGTTGAAATAAGAAAAGTGGAGGCTGGATTAACTGCAGAACTAAAAGAAAAAGAACTAAAAGCAGTGCATTGTTTCTAAATTAAATGTGGTTCTTATTGGTAGAATAACATCACACCATCAGAGGTTTCACAGTGGACCAATCATCGGGTGATGGAGTGGTTGCGGTCAGTTGACCTTGCAGAATATGCTCCTAATTTGAGAGGGAGTGGCGTTCATGGAGGGCTAATGGTAAGAGTGTGTGGCATTTTATATTTCTTTTTCAGACACAGGCAGTAAATAAATAATCTAATCGTGCTCTAAGAGATATGTCATGCCTGGTTTTGTTTCCAGTTTTGTTTGTTTGTTCCTAGGTAGGGTTTTCTAAAAGTCATGGCAATTGTGTCATAGGTATTTTGTAAATATTCAGGCCTTATTGTCGTTCCCCCAACCCCCCTCCCAAAAAAACACCCACCAACCCACGCCTTTCATACCTTTCTTAGTGGTTCAGATCTTTAGAATGGTTGGGGAAATTGCTCAATCAAAATGTAATACAAATCTTGGTTCTGAAATGCTGGTTTTGCTCCCCAGGTTTTGGAACCTCGTTTCAATGTAGAGACCATGGCTCAGCTGCTGAACATCCCACCCAACAAGACCCTCCTGAGGCGGCACTTGGCAACCCATTTTAATTTGCTGATTGGTCAAGAGGCCCAGCAGCAAAAGCGTGAAGCCATGGAATCTCCAGATTATGTCCTTTTAACAGCTACTGCCAAAGTGAAGGTACGGCCGGAGCCTTGGAAGTACTACTATCACATGGAACAGACTTCCATGTTAATCAAGAGTCTTGCTTCCTATTGTTGTGGTTTTTAAGGGGCTAATAGAAAATGAGTTGAGTGATAAAGAACTTGGCTTGGCTTGATTTAATCTCTGAACGGGGGTAGCTCAACTGGTAGAGAATAAGACTCTCAATCTCAGGGGGTTGGACAAGGTGACCCTTGTGGTCCCTTCCAGTGCTACAGTTTTATGACTCTATGATGGTAGTTTTCCTGGTTTCGTAGAGAGGTGCTGCATGGTAAAGCATAGACAGTAATTCTTATATATGTCATTGCCACATATCCTCTCTACAAAACTACGTTAACAGTTATTTTATATTTTTAAGAATGTGTTTTATAGGCCTTTGATATCGGCTTACATTAATCACTATAAAAATTACTGATATGAATTCTGTCGGCCTCTTACAATGCATTTTAAAAAAAAATGTCTCAATGGTGCTTGCAAGGTTTGTCAGGTAGTTCAAATTTCACTGAAAACTGAAAGATAAAAACAAGTTTACAGAAGTAAGTAACCTATTTAACAAAATCTTTAGTAGCCCATCTGCTGCGTTAGTCATTTGTGGTGCATCATTGTCCATGAAAGAAAAACAGGAACCACCTCTTTAAGTAGCTTCTCCTGGGAGGCCAGAGGCAGATATGACCCCATGCAGAAAACTGTCAATAGGCTTTTTACAAGCCTCATTTTACAAATACAGATTTTAAAATTAGTTTTCATCAAATGTTTTTTGTAACCTCCTTTGGGTAAAAACCCTCTTTTTTTGAAGTCTCATAAACTCAGATATTTGAGCTTAAGTACAAATAAAACTAAAATTACAAACAGTGAATTACACCCACACCCAAAAAAACCAAAATTGTCAAATATGGATCTTCTTAATTAACATGATAGATTAATTTTTTTATCCTATATTCTGTTTTATGTGGAAATCTTGCTCCAATTTTTCCAACCAGCTTTCTGCGAGAATATATGTTTGAGGAATTCTTGATTGTTTTGGTGCCTTTATTATAGATTTTAAAAGATTTTAGATATGTCATCAGGAAAATAAATTATCTGGTTGTTGTCTTCATAGCAGTTTTTTTGGTCTGTATTTTTCAGCCAAAGAAACTTGCTTTTAGTAATTTTGGAAATTTAAGGAAGAAGAAGCAGGAAGATGGGGAAGAGTATGTTTGTTCGATGGATTTGGGACAGGCATCCGGAATAGGGTCAAAGAAAGGGATGAAGCCTGCTTTAGATATCAGAGTGTATGATGAGGACGATCTGGACAGACTGGAGCAGGTAATGGTTGTTGCAGTAAGTTGAAACAATTGGTTTTTCCGTATGCATGTGCTCCCCCCTCCTGATATTTTCATATTCTGCAGTTTATGTTTAGCAGTCTTGTAATGTACTAGTACTTAAAAACTGTTATCTAACCCTTGATAAACCAGTTCAGGGCTTCTTTAGGGGCATCTAGATTTTAGCTATCAACCAACAAGAGAAACCTGAATTTCAATTTTCTCCACAGTCAGAATTTTTGGCGTAATTGAGAGTTCTTTCTTTATATTAATGGTCTCTCTTTTTGCTAAGGACCACAGGGGTGTGTGCATTTTTTGTGGGGGAAGTGTTCCATTTTACCCTCATAACAGCTGTGACAGAGACTGAGTGGTTTGAGGCTACCCAGAGAACTTTATGGCTGAGCAGCAATTGGAAGCCAGGTCTTTCCAGTCCTAGTCCTAGATTCTGTCCACATCACCATACTTCCTCTCATGTCGGCTCATCCTCTAGTTGAACTTGCATGCACTTCTCCCCTATGCAGTTCCTCAAGCTCCACCTTCAACCTTTGTGGCATTTTCCTGCTCGCCTCTTGCTCATGACATTCTGACACTTAGCCTTCCTCCCCTTCCAGCAGTCATCTCTTTTCTTCAGCTGCTCCCCGTCTCTCCCTCAAAGCTTATAAAAGGTACTGTGGTGCAGATGGTTTCTCTTCCCTTTTCAGTGCTTGCTTCTGCATAAGTTTTTTTGTGGGGTGCTCTTAATGTGAAATTATTAAACAACTAGGTACAGTATTTTCTTGGTCTCTGTCTTCCTTGTTGGCCTGCACTGCTGCTGCTGCATCTGTTGAGTTCTTTGTTTGTTTAACATCTGAGCGGTCAAAGGCAAGGCCATAAACTGGTGTTCAACTACCTGGTTTCTCCAATAGGAGCAGAGACTGTGGAGTTGGCTGATGCAGCTGAGCTACCAACTAGGCGGATGCTGGTACTCTGCACACTCTCCCAGAGTCTTCTCTTGGCCTCACCTCCTTAGCCAAACATTGCCTGACATTACAATAAAGTGTTCAACTGACTAGTTCCTTTCTAGGGTTCTGCTATAGCCTAATGTTGTATTTGTATGTGTTAATACACTTGTATGAAAAGGGAAGAATTTACATGAATTATTACCTTAACTATTTCTTTCTTGTAGATGGAAGATTCAGAAGGTACCGTGAGGCAAATAGGGGCATTTTCTGAAGGCATCAACAATTTGACTGTAAGCCTTTACAATTAATATAATGGACACACCCTAAAATGTTGCTAGTCCTGCTTTAGGACCAATACAGAGATTCAGCTGGTGTCTTGGAGATTGCATCTTAGTGATAGACTGATTTTTGAACAATCTCCTTTGAACAATCCACTTAGCATAGAGTCTAATGGTGCCCAGCCAAGTTGGAAAAACTGCATCTGAGTCAGGAGTACACACCAGAATGCTTTGCAGTGATGCATGCTGGAGTATGCTGTCAGATGGACATGAAGATGCACAGTCCATCCACAGTAAAGAGATTTTCCTGAGTTTGGTTCCAGAAAATGAGAAATAAGGAGTGTATAAGCAGACAACTTCAAAGCAGCCTTCATTCGTGTCATTATTAATGTATCTATTACAAAAAGCATATGCCCAGTGAAAATGATTTATTTCCATTTTATGTATCTGTCCCACCCTGGGACAGTGCATGCTAACACACACACACACACACACACACACACACACGCACACACACACATATATATATATATATATATAATCAAAAAAAGATTGTAAACTGGTTACTGCATAACACTAGGATAAACGACTGCCTAGTGCAAATGCACAGGATGAAGACTCCTGGGGAGGAGATCACTGCTGCTTTGCTCTTCCTCTGGTTCTGCAGCTGCTGTGCCACTGCTGCAAGCCAAGTCATAGTTTGGCTTAGCTTGTTGTCCAGACCTGCGTTTGTAGTTTGCCCCTCTCTAGACAAACCATGACCTGTAACCAAGGTTTGTTCTTGGATTTACAGTGCATGGTTTGTCTGGAATGGAACAGACATTGAGCCTGAGTTTAGACTCAAGGAGGAGGAGTGCAATGGCCACCACCTCTCTGGAAAGCCACATGTTTGTGCTAAGAGTTTCTCTCTAAATATCTAAAATATTTAAGAATAAAATGCAGCAAGATGATAATCCCCAGATGAAGCCCCATTAGTACCAGCTTAGTGCTGGCTAATAACCATACTTATTCGGATATATAGCAGACATCCTTTACCCTTAAGGTGCTGATTATCCATTTCTCTATCTTAAGTCATTCCACTAGTTCTTTGAGGTACAGAAGTGTCCTTTTTAGGAAAGGGGGAGCCAAGGCTGTTGGAGAACTCATATACTTCTCAGTGTTCTCTTCTTTGTGCTTCTGTGTAGCATCTGTACTTGTCATCAAAAACCACATCCTGCCATCACTGAATCCACAGACACACACACACACACACACACACACACACACACACACTATATATATATAATGCACTGGTGAGGCAAATATTCACTGCAAATTTAAACTGGTGTGAGTCATAGCTTTCCCCAGTGAAACCTTCAGAACGGTTATTCTTTGAGGCTGCTTAAGCTTTGTGACACACTTCTCAGCACCTTCATGATTTTGTCTTCTATACAAATAATTGATCCATTTACAGTGGTATCTCGGGTTACAGATGCTTCGGGTTACAAACTCCGCTAACCCGGAAGTTTGGGGTTGTGAACTTTGCCTCAGGATGAGAACGGAAATCGCATGCTAGCGGTGCAGCGGCAGCAGGAGGCCCCATTAGCGAAAGAGCACCTCAGGTTAAGAACAGTTTTGGGTTAAGAACAGACCTCCAAAATGAATTAAGTTTGTAACCTGAGGTACCACTGTAGTCCACAATTGTCCACTATACTTTGACTGGCAGTGGCTATTCCAATACTTCAGGCATCTTTCCCATCTTTCAGTTGGAATTGCTGTGGATTGAACCTTCTGCCTGAAAAGCCTGTGTTCTGCCACTGAGATATGGTTGAAAAATGAAGCTGTCTTAAACTGCACCAAACCATTGTTATCTCTTCAATCCTAAAAAAGCTTAACAACATCAAAGAAAAGAAAGGAAAAAAAGCTTTGGTTGGCCATTTGGTCGGCCCTCCACTTCATCAAATCTGGCCCTCTTTGAAACAAGTTTGGACACCACTGATCTAGGTTGTTTGTCTCTTTGGCAGCACCCCTTTTCCCTGGGACCTTCTCCCTGCTGTTGCCTGAGACCGTCCACGCAGAGCATGTGCTTTCAGTGTGTCGTGTAACCCAGGTCTCCCTCATTGCCCTCAGAGAACGGTTCCCTCTTGTCTGCCTGCTGCTAGATGTGCAATTCACTGATGTTTTTTGGCTCTTGAGTTTCAGTCCGTGTTCCCCAATTCTTGCCTTTCTTCTGTTTCCAGTACATGTTAAAAGAAGACGAAATGTTCAAAGACTTTGCTGCTTGCTCCCCTAGTGCCAGCATAACTGATGAGGATTCAAATGTGTGACAGTGTCAGCGCTGGACACTTCTGCTTTCTGAGAGTCCTCGGAGTGCCACTGTTAGATGCGATGGAGACACCACATCATGTAATTGAAGGTCGCTTTTGCTTCTGTTTGTTAGAAGTCATATTTTCCTGGGAGACAATAAGAGGAGTTGCCAATTCTAAAGTTGCCATAAGATCCACACCAGTGGGGGAAATATGTATATTTTTTTCTCTTGTGTTGAAACTTGTGACATGTTTCAAGTATCATATTTAATACGACTCTGCTGCTGTAATGTTCCTTCACAGAGCTGTGCCATATCATATATCTGTATTTCTCTTACTCAGTGTTTTTTTAAAAAAGAAATATAGGTGCCAGTACGTCCCATGCCCCCTCTCCACCGCCACTCCCACCCCCCCCACTCTCTCCCTTCCTCCTCGGCCACCACTTCCCAAGGCTGGAGCCAGAGCGCCTTCTAGGAAGGTGCTTCCCAAATGTAAAAAGGTTGTGCCAAAGCACCTCTACCTTTTTATGTTCGTCAGGCACCTTCCTGGAAGGCACTTTGGCGATTGTAAGCATTGTGCCAAAGCACCTCCGGGAGCCCATGCCGGCAGCCTCTGAAGGAAGTGGCGGAGAAGGAAGCGGCAAAGGTGCGGGGGGGGGGGGAGCAAGCGGCGATGGCGAGGTGGTGGCAGAGGGAAAGAGGAGGCTGTGCAGCAGATGGGCACGTGCCGCCTTAAAGAAAGCTCTGTTCATACTTTTCTTCAAGTAGTACAAGAAGAAAAGAAAACCATTCAACTAGAGACCTCTGGAATTGGCATCCATTGTATATATTTCAGCTGGGCAAAAAACTAATCCTGGAAATCCTGGTTTCCCGTTTGAACAAATTGCTCAAAAGTAAATAACTAGAGTATTCATTGGTGGCTAAACCAGTGCTCATATAATCCACAAAATCAGAATCATCTTGTGTCTTGTCTTATTTTTATACAATTTTTATTAAAAGGAAAAAAATGTATTGAGTACATACAAATCAGAATTTTATATTGTAGTGTAAGTTGATTACTTTTTTTTAAAGAGAGGAATTCCAGTTTGAAAACCAGCTGGTTACTGGAGAAGTCAGACTGATCTTATAAATGACTTGTGCCTCCCCACCCCCCAAGTGATGCCTGCATTCTTACATTAGGAATGAGTTATAAAAATTGTGATTTTTTTCATCATTAAGAAAAATCTCTGAGCTGTCCCTTTTCCAGCATTAAAATAGGATTTTAATAACATTTTAAAATTTTGAGACTGAGGAACAGCCTTTGGAAAGATCCATTTTCTCTCTCTCACTTGATGCAATGGAAGTGTTCTTTAAATTTATACCAAAAGGAGCATTAGCGAATTCACTTTATTTTACAGTATTGAATTCAGATATGGAATCTTGCCTTTTAAGTATATTTGACCATAATATAACATATTGACAGATATTTATATAGTACTTGGTTTTTTGTAAAGCACAACTTGTATTGACTTTTTAAAAACTTGTAAAATTCAGATTAGCCAGTCAAAAAATGGTTGCTGATGCTTTCAGCAGAATACACCTGACTCTTGTGTTGTGTGTGTGAGTGTCTCTCTCTTTCCAGTTCACCATCACCCTGAAATAGTTACGACTAATTTAGTAACTGCATAAAATGATGATGTGGCAAACATTCGGAGATGTTGTCTGACATCTACAATGTAAGCAATTCTTTTCAAATTTAGTACTTCAAAAGTTTGAAAATAGTAATCCAGAGACCTTTGCAGGAGTTTTAAAGTTGGGTGTTTGGTGTGTGCTCAGCTATTATGAGCTGTTGTTGAAAACTGTACAACAATATATAGCTGAATGTGCAGATTGGCCTTGCCTGCTTCCTGACATGCTAGCTTTCTGCTTGCAAGGAATCTTTTTAAAAAAACAACCACCATGGGGGGCATTCAAGCAAGTGATTGTATCATAAAATAGAACCCTCTATCATGTAATTTATTTGCATGTATAGACTGGCCCTCAGTTTGATTTCATAAACCAGTGCTGATCCTTGGAAGTATGCACTTTTTTACACACATTTATTTACAGTTGTCAAAAATTTTATCAGATTGTGGTATCTGTTTAGTCCAAAGAGATTTGCCAATACAGTATATACAGGTGTGGACTGACTGTCCTTAATAACATGGACTCCACAAATTTGTTCATGGCCACCTTGGTGTCTGGGCTCTTTTGAATAAATGCAGATAGCATGCCTGGTAGAACAATTACTTTGTCATTAATTGTGAATAAATGTATTTATGAATTAAGGAGATCACCTGCCAGCAGCTTCACATTTGTATAAAAAACACTGCAAACCTTGTATAATGGCACACACGGGTCGCAATAAAATACAAGGGGTAAAACTGTGACTAGAGAATCAAAGAAGGGCGAGTGCAAATGCACAAACATTAAGTGAATTAAACACTAACTTGCACATAGGAGCAACATCAACTTCTCATTTCTTAACGCTGATGTAAATGGAAGTTGGATGAACATCATCATCATCATCATTTTGCTGGTTAGAAGAATATTCTTTTATTATTTCTACGGGATTGAGGGAGGGAAGAATAATATAAAACACTCATGATTCAGCCAAGCAGTTAGCATAAATGGGTGCTATAAATGATATTTTATTTGGATGCGTGTGTACAAAGTAGTCAGCATAAACATATGTATTGCCATGCTAGATAAATAAATACCTGTTGAGAGAAGTAAAAAAGATTCTGGAATATAATCTTTTCTTTGCAAAAGTTATATACAAGGTTTTCAATAATCCCTTTTTGCCCTTAACTGTAAAGATCAGGCTTTTGACGTTTTTAAGCAGCACAAAGCTTCCTAAAGCTTTCTCTTGTCCAGACCCCCAAGAAGTTATGTGCAACTGACCCTTTCTGATAATTTCATTGACGGTGCAAATCAGCAAATATGCAGTGGAACGCTCACATTGAACACTAACTAGAGAAATATTTGCTAACAGAGACCTCTGTGCCTGTGAAAGTTGTGTAGATCTGGGCCAGGAAATCAATATGTGGGGTGCAGAAGCCCTCTTTGAAATCTTATATATTGCTTGGACACGAGTCTCAATTTTAAAAAGCTTAGCTTGTGGAAGAGCAGTGGCAAATCACTTGTGGATGGTCCAGTGCTATCTTAACCCGTTCATTCAGTGTATTTGTCCACTGGTTATCATTGGCTGGTGTTTATAACATGCTCTAGCAAGCTGCTTTGACTAGCTGGTGATGTCTCAGTTGCTTCCTTTTAAGCTTCCTCATTTCCATTTTATTTCAATGGGTTTCTTTGAATAAAAAAAAGTCCAGTTTTCTTCCATAGCATGGCTTGTTTGGCCCACATGGCAGGAGGGGTGCACTTCCACGATTATGTAAATGTCAGCAAGGCCTGTGTGGCCATGGTGTAGTTACACCACAGGAAAGGACACTTACTGTGAGGAAATGACTGGAACATGGATGGGGAACAAGTGCACTAGTCCTGCCTCATGCATCACATAGCTATTGTGCTGTTGTTGGTATTGATACTAACAGGAATAGGTATAGTGAAGCTAAGTAATGAATTTATCTGATGCAAGTACCTATTTAGATCACGGCTTTTGTTCATCCTGCCCCTGTACATGCCACCAAATCAGTTCTGAGGGTGTCCCCCCCAACCCTCTGGACCAGATCATGGGGGAGAGGAGAGCAGAGGGAGGGGAAATTCCTGTTGCACAAGTGGAAGTCTTTGCCTGTACAGGGCAAATTTGTTGGATACAACACTTAAATAGTCATTAACTCTTTTTACACCCTTAGGCTTCTTGTTGTTGTTAGGCTAAATATGTATGTTCATTTTGTATCTTCCTTTTCGTATAAGTTTTTTAAAATAGATGTGCACACACACAGACATGTAATAAGTTGGTGTGGTAAAGGAACAGTGGGGATTCAGCTGCATATTTTGTGTCATCTGTTATTGCTAGCATAAAATAAGCAACATCACAGGTGTGGATAGTTCAGCCATATTGGATTTATTGTGTATACTGTGTGTTGCATAGCCGGGACATTGGTTTCTGATTCATCTTATGGTAGCCCAATCATTCTCAGAATTGCTATGGATTGAAGCAAAGGTCATGGAATTGTTTGTCTGAAACAGTAGAAATTGGCAGACGTCAGTGTAAAGGTAAAGGGACCCCTGACCGTTAGGTCCAGTTGCGGATGACTCTGGGGTTGCGGCGCTCATCTCGCTTTATTGGCTGAGGGAGCCGGCGTACAGCTTCCGGGTCATGTGGCCAGCATGACTAAGCTGCTTCTGGTGAACCAGAGCAGCACACGGAAACACCGTTTACCTTCCCGCTGGAGCGGTACCTATTTATCTACTTGCACTTTGAGGTGCTTTCGAACTGCTAGGTTGGCAGGAACAGGAACCAAGCAACAGGAGCTCACGCCGTCGTGGGGATTCGAACCGCCGACCTTCTGATCATCAAGCCCTAGGCTCAGTGGTTTAGACCACAGCGCCACCCGCGTCCCAGACGTCAGTGTAGTAGTCTTTAACTCAGATGTTTCTTGCCACCCTAGTTTTGAAATCTTCCAAAAGGAAGTCCAACTGATTTCTAGGGGTTTACACCCAAGTAACTGTGTAAAATTGCAAGGAATAAAGCTTTTAATAACTTCTGGTGATCTTAAGCGTTCTGGTTTGAATAAAGCATTGTGTGCCCAATGAAATGGAACTACCCTCACAACAGAAAAGTGGATGGCTGCTTTGAAACATTCATATTCTTCCACCCTCCCCAGTTTGGACTTTTAAACACTAGGGTATGGTAAATTTGCCACTGCCAATGTTAGCAGCAAAGGGAATGGAAAATGCATAAAGCACAAAGAAAGTATTGGAACTTCAGAAGTGAAAATGACCCAGCCCATTCAACTGGTTTCTGTTAGCTGAGGTGGAGCAGGGGACACCCAGTTTTGTGCTGGCACTCAGGAAGCTGTGACTAATTTGCATGGCAAGGTTTTGTGTCTAGTGAGAGTTTTCTGCTGTAAAACAATGGGGAAATACCACTTATATGTTAGCCTGGAAAAATATACTACTTTGAGGGCATCTTGAATGAAAGCTCCACCCTTGACAAGAAGATGGGCCAAAAAGTATCGCAGGAAACAAGCCAAGAGAATTGGCTGATGTCCTGGTTATATGAGATGTTTTTAGCCAAGAAGGGGTCTATGCGTCTCAAAAGCTAAAAGAGTTATCTTGGCTTTGAAGATCCACAAAGCAAATCCCACCTGGCCACAGATACCCTAAATGAAATTTTTCTGGTAAACTTGTGTGTGCACTCTACTAACATCTTTCAATGATAATTAACAGAGCCTGCTTGCTAAGATGGAACAAAGTAGCCATGATGTATGTCTTAAATGAAGGGAGGGGCCTTGGTGTGGAGCTGATGTTGTTAGAAACTGTTGTTTAGTCGTGTCCGACTCTTTGTGACCCCATGGACCAGAACACGCCAGGCACTCCTATCTTCCACTGCGTCCCGCAGTTTGGTCAGACTCATGCTGGTAGCTTTGAGAACACTGTCCCACCATCTCGTCCTCTGTCGTCCCCTTCTCCTTGCGCCCTCATCTTTCCCAACATCAGGGTCTTTTCCAGGGAGTCTTCTCTTCTCCTGAGGTGGCCAAAGTATTGGAGCCTCAGCTTCAGGACCTGTCCTTCCAGTGATCACTCAGGGCTGATTTCTTTAAGAATGGATAGGTTTGATCATCTTGTGGGGTCCCTAATTCCCCTTTTGCTCTGTGATGCCTCTTCCCCAGTTCAGCTCCAGATATAAAGGAGAGGTATCCATTTAATGATATGTCATCCCTGGTCCAGGTTTCCTGTATCAGTAAGATGTGATACTGTGATAGAAAATCAGTGGAACAGGTGTTCCTGGTAAATGCAGCCCATCTGGCTACAGTCCAGGTTAGGGGGTAACTTTATGGTGGCCTGTTGGCTATCAAGCCCTTTCACTCATGAGGTAGTTGGGGGGCTGTTAATTCCACCAAGACCACAGGACAGTTCTTGGATATTCTTTGCCTATGGCAAACCTCTGATAGCCTCTCTGATTTACCATCAGCGTGCAGGACTAATGAAATGGTTTAATCCCCTCATTCGTTTTCTTCATGGTTGACACTGTTGAAGCAAGAGGGTTTAAAAAAGCGCACCTCAAAACTACTTTTGTTTATGTTCCTTTTTTACATTACAAACCTTGTGTGATGTGTGTTTTATAACTGCTCTGTGGCTTCTTATATGCTTTTTTATTTGTATGCAAGGAACTGGGACTGAGAAAATGATGATCTGCTCCCTGCAAATTTTGATTTCATCATCCTATTGCACGTAAGGCATGCTGCAACAGGCAAGACAGTTTCAATCCGGTTGTCAGGTTTCCTCTCTGGTTAAACCAAATCATGGTGCAAGTCAACAGCTGCACACAGCAATAGGCCAAATTAATATATAAATGGCAGCTGTTAAGCTGTACTGCTTACCTAGAAATATCAGATGACCAGGAAGAGAGCCATTTTTAGCTAGCCTGGGGCACACTGGCAAAACATTTCCTCTGCTCTAAAGGCTAATAAAAAGGGGGAGGTGGGAGTAGGAAATGGCTCTTGCTTGACTCAGCTGATCCTGCCATTATCCCTGCAGGCAGACGGAGGAGTGAATGTAGGAGCTGTTAATATTGCTGTAAATGGAATTTGTGTCCCCTTGTTGGGAAATTCTTAGTCATGTACACATAGTCTAAAGGATATTGTAGCTATTTGCAAGATGGGGCAAGGACCACATGCAAGAGGCTGCCAGACCAGACATTTTCCAATTTATAAATACACCCAGTCCCCATTGCGTGGAAGAACATGTTTTTAAAGGTAGGATTTTTGGTACCTCAACTCCCATTCATCATATATCTATCTATGAATCAGAACCCTCTGGAACAGAAATAATGTGTGCAGATGGACTAACTGCTTATAGTTGGACAGACTCCAGTAACTCAACCCCCCCCCCCCCCATGATCTAGCTAGTAGTAATACAGAGGTAATCACATTGGCGTACTTTGGAGTAGTTAAGGATTAAGAAAATGTGCTTGAGCGAGCTTTAAATAATTGAAATAGAATAATTGCCTTCTGAGTAGCTCCATTTGGTCTCCAATGCCTGCTGTTAATTATACTGCAGAAAGGTCTGCTCATCTGACTTCCTGTTTATTAGGTCAACCAAGGTCTGTGCAAGCTTTGAATTCTCTAGAACTGTTCATTAGGGTGGTTCACGTGCAAGCAACCTTGGTCTCTCCTGCTGTTGCTGAATTAATCTCCCATCATTACAGAATTAATATGTTTGACTTCTTGACTTAGCTTGGTTGGTAGAGCATGGGACTCTTAATCTCAGGGTCAGGTACTCGATGCCTTGCCAGGGATTGGACTAGATGACCCCCATGGTCCCTTCCAACTCTTCTATTATTTTATCTTGCTGGCTCTGCTGAATACATTGCCCAGAAGGAAACCCAGCCAGATGGGCGGGGTAGAAATAATAAATTATTATTATTGTTTTGTGTTCTCTTTTGTGAGCCATATAAGAGAACATTTATTTCACCTTTGGTTTTTGGTTTTTTAAAGCATTTAGTCCAACATTAAGGTAAGACGACATCCATGAAATAAGTAAACAATAAGCAAAAAAAGTTTTATTTCTACCACGTCGCAGTTGGAAAATTTAATAGCTGAACAGGTAGGATGTGTCCTACAGAACAGTTTGTGTGAGGCGAGCCAGAGCTGTTCAACACCTCAAATAATACATTTATTAAAAAGTTAAGGTTCCTTTTGCCCACAGTGATATACAAAAATATTAAGCAAAAAGATTGTTACATGGACTTTGCTTATTTTCTGCCGCAAGAGTTGTTTCAGTCAAGGAATTTAGCACACACAGAAGTAAAACCATTCTAGTGTTTTGTTCTATCTTCTTCAGCCTCTTGCTCTTCCACTAGCATTTTCCAGGTCCTAAGTTGTGCACACCTGACTAGCATTCCATCAGGCTGCAACCCCTCCCACTCCCTTCTCAAAAAATTTCAGCAAATATATGTAGTGGCTTACTTTTGTTCCTCAAAGCACTCCCAATAAGGGCAAGTATGGTACTGCCACACAGGAGTCCTGGAATTGATCAACTGAACCCACAGGATGCTTCAGGGCAAGATATAGAAGAGCCTTAGAATCAGCATACAGGACAGGACAGAAGCATGCTCAAATAGACTCAGGAGCCTGCTCTCTCTAGGTGGAAGGAGAAACCGCAAACACTCATTACACAGGCACAGGGAGGGATGCTAGGCTGCAGTTCTAGTTTTAATGAGTCTGCCAAAAGTTGTTCATGCACAATCCGCCCCCCCCCCCCCGAAATAACTAGAAGATACCCAAGAGGAGCTGCAGCTTGCAGAGTTTCCCCTTCATTTCAATGTGGCTTTTTATTCCAATGTCGCAGTGGGATAGTACCACAGGCAGATAAGAAAAAGGACGCCTGGAAGAGACTAGAACTTACTCATTCAGGAATGCGAGACCTCATCACACACACACAGTGGAATTAATTTTGGGGGGAATCTGGCCACAGAATTTTAATTTATTTAACAACGCTATTTAGCAACTTATAAAAAGATCTATATAAAAAGATTAGTTAAAATGCACACGATACCTCTGCAGTTAATAGGTATTACGCACATCTCTCAGGAATCTGTAGAAGTCGTCTTCTGGCAGTTGTAAAGCTTACAGTTTAAGAAGATATATACTTAGAGCTTTAAGTAATTGTCCGATGTCCCACAGCATTCCAAAGGTGACCGACATCCCAAAAACAATTACAACTGAAATACCATTTTCAAAAAATCAGTGGGACTTATTTCCATGGAAATGTGTTTAGCACTGGGCTGTTTTGCACACTTCACTACTAAAGAAGGTTGGAAGCATTTTAAGGAACACTTGTGTACAAAGCTTTACTTGGGAATGATTAGCAAGAGAAACTTAAGGAAGACGTTGCTCTGTAGTGAGACAATAAATCAGCTGTGTGTTCTCAATATACAGAAGTTTCTAATGTATTTTCATTAACTAAGCAACACTCCCCCCCCCGCCCCCAAACTGGCTAAACCACCAATCTTCAAATAAAGGCAATAATGAAATTTCAATTATTGATCAGTGTGTATGCTTAAACTGCTCATTGTATAGCTTTGTGACAAGAAAACTCTTCCTTCACATAAGCGTGCTTGACAGTTGCATATCACGCACGCCTGCTGTATCAGTAAGAAACTCTTTGGTGATGCAAGAGGCCGGCTACATTTTGCCTATCTATTGTGAAAGAGTTAATCCAGTGGCCTTACAACAGATTTGTTAAGCATAGCGAAGCTAAAGATACCATATACATCACAGATATCCATTACAAAATTTTCAGCGTGTCACTAATAAGAAGACACCAAACTTGTATAGAGAGTTTGGCAGTCTCTCTGAACGCAGCTTCACACCTCTATGCCCCAGGCACTTTTTCTGCCTTGTTCCCTGCTGTTCCCTGCACTTCCATCCATTGTTTCCCCCACTTACACATTCTGATGTTATCGTGCCTCCATTCCCCTTTAGTACGCAAATCTCATCTCTTTGGAATATCCCAATTTATCCAGATTGGGAATGCAAGCATACTGAATCATTGGCGGGGGGCCACACATCAGGATGAGAACGTCGTCTTGGGGCGGGGGCATGTGGTCCCTGATCATGTCTTCGTTCACAAATCCTTGGCTGTAATCCCAACCTAATTAGGAAAGACCACAATCCAAGTTATCTCTTAAAAATGAGACACTGTAGTATCTATAGACACCAAAGAAAATAAATGCATATATACATTTTGTATTCATGGATTTTTATTCTGCTGTCCAAAAAAAAAAAAAAAAAAAGCTTCAAGGTGATTAAAAATCAAATACTGTCTAATTCTTGTTGTTTTAGTGTAAGAACAAATACAATGCTTAAATGCCATTAAAAGCCTAAGAGGGCAAACTTTGTCTAGTCCCTAAAATGACGAATAAGGAATCAGGTGAGCACACACACGGAGGAAATCCTGTGCCCTAGCGAAGAGGCCCTTTCTGTAGGGCATACCAGAGAAGGGCTTCTGATGAAGATTTTAATTCACAGACAGAGTCAATGCGGAGAAAATCCTATGCTGGTGCTGAAGAACAGAATGGCTGATTCACACATGACACTGAGTTAAGCCAAGGTTTAACTGAACTGTTGTCTGAACAGTTCATGAGTAAGCTCTCTCCTCACTAGTCCGTATTTGTTCTTGTCTCAGTAAGCCATAGTTTGGGCTCACTGTATCTTGTGAACCAGGTGATAGTGAGCATGTGTGAATGAGTCCAACGCTGCAGACAGAAATTTCATTTTACCCAAAACCCATTTCTAATGAGCCTCTTCACATATTCAGGAGTCATTGTGCTAATGCATGAAGTTAACTAACTTTAAAAAGGCCGTTAGTCACAAACATTGACTATTACATCATGAATTTCCAATCGTCTTCAAGTGGTGCAATGGGTCAGTGCATCTGGCTGTTAACCAGAAGGTTGGTGGTTTAAGTCCACCCAGGGATAGCTGTGGGCAGGATTTCTGCACTGCAGAGGCTTGGACTAGAAGACCCCCTGGGTCCCTTCCAGCTTACAATTCTGTGATTCCAGTTGGAAGACATTTTCCACAGAAGTCTGTTTTTTTCCTGGCATTTGTCGCAGCAAACTGGAGTTTCCTTGCATGCACTCAACACGGAGCCACCACCAATCCTGGCTCACTTAATAGGTGTACTTGTACAATACATAAATTTGCAAAGATACAAACATATTTTTAGATGGACAACTAAGATGATAATAACCATAATGGAATAAGGGACTTACTTTCAGGTGCTCTATCCAATGTGTACCACAGTTTAAAACGGTTTGAATATTGAGCCTGCACTTCCTCAAGTTCTGGGCGTAGCAGGATGTCGTTCTCAGTCTGTCCAAGAAAAAAAAGGAGCAACAGGGGTTGTTTTTTTTGTAGCTCTGTGCTGTCCACTGTACAAACTTTTTAAAAAGACTAGGTAAAAGCCATTCCCAAACCAGTACAGTGGTGCCTCGCAAGACGAAAAGAATCCGTTCCGCGATTCTCTTCGTCTAGTGGTTTTTTCGTCTTGCGAAGCAACCCTATTAGCGGATTAGCGGATTAGCGCTATTAGCGGTTTAGCGGCTCTTAAAGGCTTAGCGGCTTAGCTGCTAAAAGGCTATTAGCGGCGTAGCGGCTTAGAAAAAGGGGTGGGGGCGAAAAAAAAATTGCAAGACTAGCAAGACGTTTCGTCTTGCGAAGCAACTCAAAAACGGAAAACCCTTTCGTCTAGCGGGTTTTCCATCTTGCGAGGCATTCGTCTTGCACCACTGTAAATGAAGAAGGAAGTACAGTAGGTTTGAGGTCTGACTGGACTCTTGGTATCAAGGAATAACAAAACAGGTCTAGTTGTGATGCATGCCACCGACTTTGATATCATGGTTTGATAATGTCAGAAGTCGTAAGAAATCATATAGTGATGTTCAACCCTGCCCATAACCCTCTACTTTCTCAAAGCACCATAAGGGACACTTCTTCAGGTTTCGTCTGTTAAGACTCTTGACACACCAGACACAAGGCAGTTCCAGGCGGGCCTTGGTTTCTGCCTGGTGGGCTCCCTTCAGCTTGGTGCATTGTGACTTGGACAGGCCTCCTCTAGCCAGCCAGAAGGAATTCAGGGAAGGCTAATGATGACAAGTCATTCTGAGGGGACAGGAACTCCTTACAGAAAAGCAGCATAAATATCACATGGCTTCTTCCCATCCCAGCGTCAGTATCTTTTGCAGCTAGGCACACATCAGTTGCTCATCAATATAATATAGATGTGCGCATCTGTATATAGTACATGTATATTTTGTAGAGCTGGAAAAAGTGCAGAAAAAAGAGCAACCCAAATGATCAAGTGACTAGAGCAACTGCCTTATGAAAGGGAGCAATATTACCCATCCAAAGGAATTTGGCACAAAACAAAAGGCTATATTTAGGGTTGGAAGGAAAGATTCATCTGCACCTGTTGTTGTTGGGAGAAGACACCTATTTCTGGAGCTGTCTCTATCGAAAGAAAGCTATTCTTGGATGGGATTATCTCAAAGCAGATGCTTTGGGTAAATAATGGAGAAGGAATCTTGGAGGTACAGAAGCACGTTATTAAAAATCAATGAAGGTTACGTTACAGGATTTCAATTGGTAAATCACCCTGTGGAGAAAACTAAATTCAGATAAATTTATTGGGGGTAGGTTGCAATTTAAGGGCACACTTACTTAGTGCTGGGGCTACTTTTAATTTGGTGTAAAAAAGATTTAAGATGGACTAACAACACATGTAGCTTGATATATCATCCCAATACAGACATCAAGCACAACTGAGTATGAAAACACCACAAATCACAACTAGATTCAGTCTCTTCACGTCAGCAAGGATACAAAAGATCCCAGGATCTAAGGCAGGGGTAGAAAATCACTTTCAGTCCAAGGGCAACCCTGTCTTGTGGGCAGCCTTCTGTGGGCCATGGCCACGCTGGGTGGGGTCTGAGTGAAGATTAGGTGGAGCAATGAGTGCAACTTTTACCTCTGTATGGTAGGCTGAGATTTCTGTGTACCTCTCTCCACTCAGGCAAGGCCTCCTTTCACAGTTCAAGAGCACATTCCATCCAGGCAAAAGCACTGAAGATGTGAAATGGTGCCACTTGCAAATGATGTGGCCTATGGAGAGAATGCAGCCTGGGCACAGTCCCAGGGCCAACAGAGAGGCCAGGAGGGGCACGTTTAGCACCTGGGCTTGAGGTTCTCCACCCTGGTCTAGAGCAGGCTTCCCCAACTTTGTGTTCCCAGATGTTGCTGCACTTCAACTACATCATCTCATCTACTGGCCAAGATTTGTAAGGCCAACAAGGTCTGGAAACTCAATGCTGATCTAGGACCTTTGGACCTCCAGATATTACTGAAGTACTGCTCCCATTGTCATTGGTTGTGCTTACAGTTTGGCAATATCCTGAGGGCCAAAGATTCCCACTCCTGGCCCATGGCATGGTCTGAAGGAACATGACCTAGTTCTACTGCTGAAGCCAAGGAGGAGTCCAGAAACCTTCTGAGATGGAACACTGTGGGAACCCAATGCAAGCTGCTCTGAGCAGTACAAAAAGGGGGGATATAAGGCTGCAAGTTTATGCACACTTATGTGGGAGTAAAGTCCTATGTAAATTATAGAATATATTCCCAAGTAAGTGTGTAGGATTGCACTGAACATCAATGAATATGTCCCTTTAAAAAAACACCACCACCTTGTTTTTCTTAGCTCTGCCAAAATCCTGCCTTTCCTTCAGATTAACATCCACAAAAAATAAAAATAGGGACATCTATTTACCTGGTTAGCAAAGAGTAAATGGCAAATGGTGGGATCCTCTTCATCCTTCATGATAGCCCGAATGAGCTGCAACATGGGGGTAATTCCTTTAGAGAAGGGGGGGGGGAGGAAAACCAGCCATAGCAGAGTCAAACAAAGAAAGCCACCTCTTAGAGAACACAAACAAATTCAATACACAAAAGACAGCAAACAATCTATTTTGTACCTGTTCCACCTGCTATCATCCCCACATATTTGACATGTTTAAGAACCGGTTCAGATTTCTTTTCAGGACGAATAGCAAATACGCCTGTGGAAACATCAAACAGTGGTTTTATGGCTAGAAGCAGAAGTTGATAAGAGCCACAATTTCCCCACCTTTAACTAGGAGACTGGAGGAAGAAAACCTTGTCCTAGAGATGTGCAACCTGTGGCCCTCCAATGCTGCTACACAGAAACTCCCATCAGCACCAGTGAGCACGGTCAATGGCCAGGGATGATGGGAGCGGGAGTCTAACAACATCTAGAGACCCCATTGCCTCAGCAGAATAGGAAGAGACCCTCTGCTGCCCTCTATGAGAAAATAAACATAAGCTAGGGAAAATGCTATCTTGAGAGCTGCCAACCGATTCATTACCTAAGCCCCATCCAGTGCTCCTCTGCAAGAAAAGGCAGGGTGATAGGAAGAGTGAAGGCAGCTGCTAGAATTCCCATTAGAATCCACAATTCTTGTGGTGCTTTACTTACTACTGAAATCCCTGCACCTTTCTACTAGAGAGGCTGCATGAAGGCACAGTGCTACCAGGGTTTAGCATTGAGAGAACGTGCTGTAGCAGGAACTGGGCCCATGCGCTCTCTCCCCCTCCATGTGCAAGAATATGAAAGATGGCTTCTTGCGCGCCTCCTTCCAGCCACTCCTACTGACAAGCTGGTGTCAAACATATTGCTGCTTTCCTTGGGACCACATCAGCAAGGCCAAGAGGGAGATCTTGTTGTCTGGGCAGCCCAGGACCCCCAGACACACTGCCCAGGCTTGCATCCCAGGGAGGTCACTTCAGGGCTGCTAATGCACTTTGCCTGCGGAGGTGCACTCCATTGTCTCACGAGACAGACAGATGCCAACAGCACCATGGCTTGTAATAATACTAGCCTTATTCTGAACCAGGAAGCTGGTTGCATAGCGGCTGCTACGGCTGGCAAGTTCTTTCCTTGCAAGCAAGCAAGGGGAAAAGACAAATTTGAGCTCAAGACACCACAGCACATGAGCACTAAATTGTGCTTCAGTTATCTGAAAGTGACCAGAGTTCCTCTGGTAATTCTGCTTTGATTTAGGAAGTAGATGTTCTTAATCCCTGTTCAGAATGACTAAAGTAATGACTGAAGTATTGCTGTGTGCCACTATATGCACGTTGGCCCCATTCAGAGTATCAAATGGGCTCCAATGTGCACAAAGAACTCCCTGCAGGGGAGTTACAAGTCTGTAACAAACGGCACCTGCAGCACACTCCCCACACAACCCTATTCTGCACATCTTCCATCGTGTAGAAGACCCTCTCACTTTCTTTCCATCTGACCAAATTATCCAGTTTACTCTGCTGCTAGCACAAAGGGTTTGGTTTTCCCTTTTCTTTTAAAAGCATGTTTATTGTTTTGCCAGCTTTCCTTAAGAAAGCAACTGGTGTCTTATTCCACTTAAGAGGAAGTTAGGAATAGGATAGAGCAGGGCCAGCCAACAAGATACTGAATGACTCTTAGCTTTCATCCATCTCAGCCAGCTTTGTCAATGGTCAGGGATAATGGGAGTTGGAGTGCCAACAACATCTGAAGTGCAACATGTGGCTAACCCATGGAATATAAGGAATGAGATGTTTCTTATGAGCCCATGCTATTTATAAAAACCAGTCTTGCCTTTCCCCTTGTAGACAAGCAGTCCACTGGGTCCACGAAACTCAATCGTGTCATTTATTTTTAGGTTTTCCAAGTACTGAGACATCTTCCCTCCATCAGGGAATTTTGGGTGAACTCCTTTGAAATATATCTATTTAAAAGAGAGAGAATAGAAAAATGATAGCTTTAAAACAAAAAACAATAGTAGTGTATATATCAGATTAGTTTCAGATTTTCTATGTGGGCAATGCAAGGATAAGAAACATGTCTCACTTCACACCCTTTGCAAATCTAGACTAATTATCAACAAAGTTTCACCACCACACTGCAAGCATGTGGCTGTATAGGGGCCATCCGTGAGGGTTTCAAATCAGACTGAATATTTCACGGAGTGTCACAAGATTTTTCAAATTTTGTTGCTTTATTGCCCTGAAGCGATCATTCTCAACAGCCATTACCTTCACAACAAGATCCACATAACCTTTGTCTTCATCGCTGGTGACTGGTGTGTAGGGCCTAATCACCAGATTCCCATCAATTCTTGCAGAGAGGTAGATGTGCTGCCCTAGAGGTAAATGAGTAAGTTTAAAAAATACATCATATTTTGAAGAGACTAAAGAACATGCTTACATTTTCCTTGATATTGGCATCTCTTTAGCATACTTGGTACCGTTCTACGCTCTCCCAGAATGCTATGTTAAGTTATGGCCATTCTAGATCAAATCAGCAAATGCATCTGTAGAGCTTCATTTTTCTTAAAAAATGATCCACAACTAAAGATTTCCCAACTTACCCTCTCCACATTTTCAATTTAACATTTACAGTATAAAGCCAGCTCAAGAATTTATTGTACTTCTTTCCTACACATAGAATTCAGGCTGCAATCCTACACTTGCTTACCTGGGAGTTAAGTCCCACCGAACTCAATGGGTCTTACTTCTCAGTAGACATGTATAGGTTTGTGCTACCAGAATGGCCCACATCTGCACTGAGCCCCAAGGGGGTCTCCTACCCAGGTAGGCACAAGGCACAAGAACTAAACTATGGACCTTGAGACTATTCTCTGGCTCTTCCAACATTTCCCAAGGTCCTCAGGAGTATCAACTAAACAGAATGTGACCTGTGGACCAACAATTGGATCTTCTTGTTTTATGGTATTCAGAATGGATAACTTTCCCCATGGTCATAAAGGTAAAGGTAAAGGTACCCCTGCCCCATGGTCATACTACACATCAATAACACAAAGTACTATCTATATGGCCATACCTATTCTCATGGTTAATCTGTGGGCAATATTAACAAGTTAGACTAACAAGTGGCTTTGTTGTGATACTTTTGCTTTCTGCAAGCTCAGATGTTAGAACTTGCTCTCAGGTGGTAAGAGAGGTGGATGAACAGTACAACTGTTCTCCTGGACAAATCATCCCAACACCAGTGAAGGAAAAGAAATTGTGTTGCAACCAGAGACAGAGGGGCTATAGTAAACCAACTCATCAAGTCCTTAAACCAGCTGTGTGAAGACAATGGAAGCCACAGTACCATTCTGCCTTTGCCACCACTTGTGTCCCAAGAGGGCATCTTTCCAATTAGCTAAATGTATAAAAGACTCAATTTCTCCAGGAGAAAAACACTGATCCATAAAGAATCAGGAATGTTGAAAGCTCCTCTTCTTGCACTTGTTGGCATTGCCTTCTGACTTTATCTCCTTCCATATTGAAACTAAAGCCATGAGCTCCCAGGAGATGTTCCATGCATGTACTGATCAGATCCAGATCTAGCTCAGTGGTGCAGCAGTATTTCTGGGTGCTGTGACAATTTTAAAAGATCATAAATACTTCCCCCCTGAGCTGTACTCCATCTGCCAATGGAAAAACGTAGCCACAGGCTTAGTACAGGAGAGGGTGGGCGGGCTGCTCATAAGGCTCTTTCCTTTCAAAGCCCCACAATTCAACCAAATGTCACACACAAAACCCCCAGACAGACAGATAGATAGATGCAGCTGCACTGCAAAAAGTGTTCATTTTCTTCAAATAAAAACATACCAACAGGAAGGCCTAGAATGTGTTCTGGGGATGGCAAGGCAAAACGGAATTTTCTTGTGTCATGACTGATCTCCTGAAAAAGGAACAGCAGGCAAGTCAGTGCTTTGAAGGGAGGCGCAAATGCTTGAGTATTATACATTCTTCTACCACATATATTTATAACCAAGATAAGAGGTAAAGGAAAAGGATCCCTGGATGGTTAAGTCCAGTCAAACTTGTCAATGGGGTGTGGTGCTCATCTCGCTTCAGGCCAAGGGATCTGGTTTGTCCACAGAAGTTTTCTAGGTCATGTGGCCAGCAGGACTAAACCGCTTCTGGCGCAACAGGACACCGTAATGGAAGCCAGAGCGCATGGAAACGCCATTTATCTTCTCGCCATAGCAGTACCTATTTATCTACTTGCACTGGTGTGCTTTTGAACTGGTAGGTTGGCAGAAGCTGGGATAGAGCAACAGGAGCTCATCCCACTGTGTGGATTTGAACTGCTGACCTTCTGATCAGCAAGCCCAAGATGCTTGGTGGTTTAGATGACAGTGCCAAGCCATGTTTCAGAACTGCCTGTTCGCTTAGAAAATAAACATGCATGCTTATAAGGAGAGTGGGAGACACACACTTCGGTTTTCTATGGATTGTTTGGGAATCCTGGTACATTTTGTTCTCTATCTTAACTTGGCAGGGGGAGAAGAGGGAAAATTGAGCTAAGGTGACTATTACCTCTTTGTCAATCAGTCGCAGAGCATATTTCACATCTGGATTCTCCAGGGTAATGGGAGGCAGAGGCTTAGAGAAAATTCTCATGATCAAGCTGATCACGAAATATACTGGAGAGAGCGCAACTCTTCCCAACTGCAACACAAAAAGGGAAAGGACAGTATCACTACCATGACTCTAAATATGAACAGCCCACTTCAGTAAACATTTATGAGCAAAATAAAAAATAAAATAGTAAGTAACATCACATTAGTAGCATATTATCACAAAGCAATAGATAAGATATTAAATATATTATAATTTTCCTTTTAAAACAACAGTTCAAGTAATCTTTATTTTCTTGAGGGATGAAGTAAAATATAGCACCTCTGTACTGTAAAGGTAAGTGGCTTTTAGAGTCCTGTGTTTCACATCCATTACTCCACAAACCCTTGCAATAACCCCATGAGTTGTGCCAATATTTGGAACATGAAAAACGGAGGGTTATTTAAAGCCATGTAGTGAACTTGTGGCCAAGGGGATTTCCCAGCTCACACTCATAAACTTTCTGGTAAATATTATGATGCTAACAACACACACAAATGTAATTTGTTCTGCATGTTTCCTACTTCTAACAGGTGCCTGGGTTTAGCTGGCCAAGAGCACATAGGAGATTTATGGCATTTTAAAATATTTGCTTTATTTACGAATACCTATCTCCCTACATACCTACCTATACAGTGGTGCCCCGCAAGACGAATGCCTCGCAAGACGGAAAACCCGCTAGACGAAAGGGTTTTCCGTTGCGGAGGCGCTTCGCAAGACGAATTTCCCTATGGGCTTCCTTCGCAAGACGAAAACGTCTTGAGAATCTCGCCATTCCCCCCCGCTCCCCCCCCTTTTTCAAAGCCGCTAAGCCGTTAATAGCCTTTTAACAGCTTAGCCACTAAGCCTTTAATAGCCGCTAAGCCGCTAAATCGCTAATAGCGCTAATCCGCTTAGCCGCTAATGGGGTTGCTTCGCAAGATGAAAAAACCGCTAGACGAAGAGAATCGCGGAACGGATTCTTTTCGTCTTGCAAGGCACCACTGTATACAGTGGTACCTCGCAAGACGAATGCCTCGCAAGACAAAAAACTCGCTAGACGAAAGGGTTTTTTGTTTTTTGAGCTGCTTCGCAAGACGATTTTCCCTATGGGCTTGCTTCGCAAGACGAAACGTCTTGCAAGTTTGTTTCCTTTTTCTTAACACCGTTAATACAGTTGCGACTTGACTTCGAGGAGCAACTCATAGCCTTTTTTGTGGTAGCCTTTTTTGAGGTTTTTAAACACTTTGGTGATTTTTGAAGCTTTTCCAAAACTTTCCTGACACCGTGCTTCGCAAGACAAAAAAAATCGCAAGACGACAAAACTCGCGGAACGAATTAATTTTGTCTTGCGAGGCACCACTGTACATTGAGAGGGAGAGGGAATGAGAATGAAAATGCTAGCACAAATGGAAGCAAACAGGAGATCCACCACCGCACACCAAATCCCCAAGGTACATTCTGCTAATTCATAGCTGTTTGATTCTTCCCAACCACCAGCCCTTGTTTTTCACATACATCCACACCTGATCCCTCCCTGTGGCGCAATGTGTGTGCATGCTGCATATCTTCCCAACTGATATTTCACACACACAGATTTCCTAACTATTAGCCAACATTTATGGGCTATGAACCAGCAGTTTGCCTTAAAAAAAATGGTGTATGTAATTATGCAGCCATGATGTAAATATGTCAAACACAGGTCTTGTTTGTGTCAACTAGGACATTTGCTTTTCTGAGCCAGAATCAGAGCCAAGGGTCTAGAAATGATCAAAACTTCTTAAGCACAAACAAACATTATGGACTTGCACAATACAAAAGGATGCAATTAAAAATAACTTGGATGGATTTAATAAATAATAATAAATAATAATAATAATAATAATAATAATAATAGAATACAGCTCATAAAGGATGAGAAGTGAAGCTGCATGTGACTCGATCACAGTATCTAACTTACAGCAATGCACACAAGGAGGGCATCTGTGGGTATATGCTAAGTTGTATGAATATCAAGTGTAAGATACCTGTGCATCATGTAACAAGCTGCTCATTATTATCCACAATTCAGTAACCAGTTTTATAAGAAGGCCACTCTGAGGGAAAGATGCACAGTGGTCAAGACTGTATCTCCATCTGCTCAGGTGGACTGACACCATGTCCTGCCGCAATTGCTCATGGCTGGCCCAAGACATTTCAGCACCTGAGATGAACCACAGAATGGTTCCCACCTCCCCACCAGGGAAGAAGCGTGAGTGAAGATCTACATCAGGCACAAAGGGGAATAAAGATCCACATCAGGATCTGCTGCCCCTATGGATTCTGCCACTTGAGATGGCTGCCCCACCTTGCCTCATAGGTGGGCTGGCCCTGCCATTGCTCTCCTCTGAAGAAGTAATTTGAGGGCTAGCAGGCATTTCTCAGAAGATGAGATCTGGACTTGGAGCCTAGAGCGGCTGGACTGCTCCAACTGCTTTCCACACTTCATTCCAAGGGAAGCTCTTTATCAGATTTGGCTGAGTGACTCTTGAACATCATACATGATGGCAGCTTATCTATCTGCATGGTTGACCTTAGTGGTTTATAATTCTTTATAAGATACTGCTGAGGGGCAGGAGAGATAATCTGTCATCATGAAAGGAGAGAAAGGAAAGGAACTAGAGAAAATCCCCACATACAACAGACAAACTTCATGGAATGATTTGTTTAAAGGTGCTGCAGACTTAGAAGCACACAGTCTATCTTACTGTTGTAATTTAGTATTCCTAAAAAAACAACCCAAAACATTTCTAAACAATGACCCTGAAGTTCAGTATCTTGCAATATTTCATTCTCCCAGTTCATCTAATAGAAGATAATTTTCTTCTCTTCTATATCTGCCCTGGTGTGGGACCAATACGGTTTCAAGTGGCCCAATTTATTTTATATAAGATTATTTTAACTGTGGGTGCAGCGTTGAAGACAGGACCTTGGAATCACCACATTCAAAGCCCTGTTCTCATCAGCCAGATCCTATCCAGACATGCTTGAAGTTCTTCTCCCATGACTCCCTCAATCACCTTCCCCCCAAAGGAGGTATCTGCAACTGGGTGATAGCTGTTAAAATCTACTAGGTCCAGAGCCGTTCCCCCTGCCCCTGAGCGGCTACCTTTATGGAGGCAGCAACTACCCCTTATGCAATGAAGCGCTCACCACCCCCTGGACTGCTCAACCCTCCTCCCTTTCACTAGCTCTGCTGGGCACGGATGTAGAGAGGATGTAGTCAGACACCTAGCCTGCAAGTACTGTACTGCAGAGGGTTGGACTGGATGACCCTGGGGTCCCTTCCAAATCTACAATTCTGTTATTCTACCCTGTACACATCAGGGCACATAAGCTGAAATTAATTCCACCAAGTCAGACATATCCAGAGCACCATTTGATGGTGCTGAAGCAATAAAAAAAAAAAATCAATTTCCTCTAGCCACAACAGCAGATATTCCCAGGTCTAGCACTAATGTTAATTAATCACTAATGCAGAAGCTTCTTAAGGAGAACATAAAAACACTCTTATTCCGAATGCCCCATTGAAAAAGACAAGTTGAGAGCTCTCTGTCAATATTCTGACTACAGTCTTGTTGACATGGTGCGTTTGCGCATAATACTAGTGAACCACCCTATGCTTGTGACCCACTAGACTAGAGCCTGTCTCTCCCAGGGACCAGATACAATTTAATTTTTATTACTTTTGTTCTAATCCTTTCCTGCAGGGAGTTTAGGCAACAGACATGGCATCCAATTTTGGGGCTCCAATCCAGTACCCACTATGCTATACTGCCAGAAACTATTACCACCCCACCCCCAACACAGTATCATAGTCTCAGAGGCTGGGTCAACCACTTCTCAGGCTAGGGGAGCTGGCACTGCTTTTCTATGCTCTTCCGATCTTACCTTCTCCAGGCTGCCCAACTAGAGCCAACGATACAGCATCTTCAGCTATCTTTACCATCTAATTTTAAGCCAGGGGAGCCATTTTGTTTTGTAAACTCTGAATGGCCAATGACTTTTTTATCTATTCTTGCTGGTTTATCCTCTTGTTGAGAGGCTCTCAAACATAAGACAGAAGACAGGGAAAGCAGCCATTGGATTAGCACTGCAGCCTGCGTGACAACCAAGGCATGGTTAACATCTTAAGATCCTACTGGAACATCTAAGAGTACAACAAACTGTTGCATGAGCTGCATGGCTGCTACAAATGGCAGCAATTCTAAATATGTTTCTCCCCAAGCCCCTTCATTGTGTCTAGCAAGTAAAATGTGTGATATGGTATCACGGCACTTCCAAGTTTCCCTATCTCATTTTACTGGCAGCTGCTTCCAAGGGTGGGAAATTTGAAGCATGTTTTCACGTTACCTTTTAGTTTTTTGTGGGGTCGGGAGAGAGGAAAAAAGACAGGAACCATACATCTCCTGAAAGGATGAGCTGTGCTCTGAAGGAAATTAAGGCCACTATTATTTAATAAACATTAATTAGTAACCACTGTTATTCATGGTTTATAGCAATTATTCTTAATTTCATATAGGTTGATTTGCTAGTTTTCTTCATTGTTAATTGTGATTTTTAATGCTATTATTTGCCACACATAAAACAACATAACTTACAACACATAAACCAGTTGCTTAAAAACCACCCTGGGCTTCTTGAGTGGATGCTGGACGACAAATACTTCAAACAAACATAAATAAAATACAATTGTGTGAATTTCAAGCACTGCTACTATATTATCTATTTTATGAATGAAGAGGGCATGTGTGTTTTGCTACATGGAATCGGTTTGTTTAAGATCCTCATGAGATTCAGTTAAAAGAACAAGCAACACATTCCCACCAGCTGAAGTTTCCAGATTAGTAGTTCTTCCTGACCAAGAACCAGTGAAGGAAGCCAAAACACACACACAATATTTGCATCAGTTTCCTGGAAGACATTCAACATCTCCAACATCAGAATATTATTGTCAAGGAAGAAAAAGCCATATCGCTTCTCTCCCTTCCCTTGGAATTTAGTCTTCTTAAGAAACAAACGCAGGGCAGTTAGCATTCTGTTCTTAAAGCTTTCAACCAGGACCTTGGTCAGCTAAGGATTACTGGCTCCAGCTTTAGGGTGCGGCCGAGCAGCATGCAGCACATTCAGATTTAGCCCTCTGAGGAATTCAGTTAGACTGGCCAGAAGGAATGGTGGGAAGAAGATGCCAACAATGCCTGCTACGAAAACAGCAAGTTCATCCTGTCAAGCCAACTGCAATAGACCATGTCTTGCAAATGCCTCAGACTGATACAACCCTCCCAAGTCACTTCTGCAATGGAACCCTTTTTCCTACAAACATGTTGCTAATATCTAGCATGCATAACTGATATATTCTATATATATTTCTTTCCTTCTATACATCCAACTGATTACAAAAAGGACACACTTATTTTCAGTGTAATGTAGTCCTCATACAGAGCCATCAATACACAAGGGGACATCAAAGGTGAACAGAGAGCTCAGGCAGATTTGAGGAGGCAAAGGTTACCGACAGGGATACATAAAGATATGAGAGAAAGTCAAAACAGTCACCGAGAAACAAGAGGAATGTCTCAGGAAAACCCCAAGGTTTCCAGAAGTACAAGCAAAATGCTAACTAAAGATCAAAACTAATGGGGCAAAGAAGAAGAAGAAGATTTTATTATTTATACCCCGCCCATCCAGCTGGGTTTCCCCAACACATAGCAATGGAGGCTAAGCATGCTCAGCTGCCCTGAAGCACAGTCCTTTGGAAAACGCTGGGGCGAGGGGGTAAGGAATTGGCTGGCTGGAAGTGGCCAGAGAACAGTGGGACATAGTCACAAAACCAAGAGGCTTTAAAATGCTGCTGTTCAGCTGCTGGAGATGCCAGAGAGGCTAGCCAAGGTAGACAGTAAAGACCACAGTGGGGGTTAAGAAAAGAGACTGGAAGGAGGAGCAGTGATCTCCCCCTCTCTTGCCCTGTTCTCAGCTGCTTTTCTCTTTCACTTTCTTCCACTACTGGCTACTTAATGAACAGAGAAAAGGGAAGTAGAAAAATGGAGTGAAACAGGGCAAAGGAAGACACACACAACTACAAGGAGGACAGAAGCAACCATCTCGCTGCCTTGAATAAGTCACTTCCTGAATCATGCTGAAATGCTATTTTAAACGTAGCTAGGAACGAAAGTGAGAGCTGCTGGTAAGAATCAACAGAACAATCCAAGAGTAGTTGCAACTGAACTTGGAAGGGAGAGGAAGCAGAGGAGAGAGGAAGGAGAGGAAGAGGAGAAATATGGAAGCCAGAAGTAGGGGGGGGGGAGGAAAGGAAAGATGAACAACAGAGGTGATGGGAAGGGAAGGGGACCATGTGGGGGGTCTGTAGCTTTCTTGAGGAACCCAGAACCGTTGCCCATCAAGAAGACACACTTCCCTTTCATGAAGGTGCCACTCCTCAAATAGGAGGACTACCCCCACAGTCCTGAGGGACAACACATATATATTGCAACTTCTTGTTTTGGTGCCTCACTCATTTTATGTGTGATCTAGTTTAGCTTTTTAAAACAAACTGAATAGGAATTTATCTCTATCAGCTGCAAAGTTCAGCAAGCTTCTCTGAACCACTCAAGAGCCCAGAGAGTTAGAATCTAAGCTCTAGGCTGGTGGCCTTCAGGGTAGCTTATGGAGCAAGGCAGGCAAAAAAATTTGCCATCCAGCTTCTGACATTCCACCCCTAAGCTATGGGCCCCTTCCTGCTCACCTGCCAAGTTCGCTGGTCCCTTGGGGGGCTGCCTGAAGCCTAAGCCCCCAACATGCGGGATGGAAAACTTTGAACCGCATACATGGGAAGCTACAGTGCTCCCTCTGAACTCTGCATTACAGGCTTCCTCAACCTCGGCCCTCCAGATGTTTTGAGACTACAATTCCCATCATCCTTGACCGCTGGTCCTGCTAGCTACAGATCATGGGAGTTGTAGGGCCAAAACATCTGGAGGGCTGAGTTTGAGGAAGCCTGCTATATTATATCCACTGCAAGTAGGCTACACAAGGATTTATAACTCTCATGAAAACGCTGTTGTCTCACTATATATATTGGAAAGTTAAAACAATACGGAAGTACCCAATTAAATTTCTCCAGACAGCACCCATCTCTTCAACCAAGTTTTAAGTGGTGGTGTTAAGTTCTGTTTTGTAGAACTTCAAAAGACACAGAAAATGTTTACGAGAGATGTAAATAATGATAACTCAGTTTCTAGCATAGAGAGACCCAGGCAGAATCAAAACAAAGAGAATTACTGTACTTATATGTAAGTGCCCATTTGTTCTATGGAGCGTTCTGTCTTAATTTTAATAATTGAGAACAAATATTAACTGGTGATGGCTGAGGAGCTACAGCAGTTTATTGCTCAGAAAATAATTTGCTTGTGGTGTGTTACTGTACAGGCAAAGCAAAGTGGCACCCTTTGGGTGTTGCTGGACCTGACACCTGACCATTGGCCAAGCTGGCTGGAATTGATGGGTGCTGAGTCCACAACATCTGGAGGGCGCCACCTTGATCACCTATCAAGTACCTAAACTGAAGATCTGGTAAATGTTTAATTTCAATTAATTAAAGAAATACATAAATAATCCTATGCTCTCTGGGAGGGTGGGCTGAGAGTCTGTAGGATGCCATGGATCTCCCATTCTATAGGCTGTGGCCTCCCCATTATGCCAGCAGAAACCTTCATGACCAGCACTGTGCTGATGCTCCCCAAAACAGGGTGTTCCAGGAACAACCCCATCAAAAATGACCAAAAAATATCTGCCCTGGAGCTGATGCACAAACAACCCCTGAGATCAGTTATTAAACCCCATTACTGTGAAGGTAACTTTTCCTTCTCTGAATTGTGAAGATTAATACTCTGCTTTCTGACCGAATAATCCTCAATATGATTTACAAGTTGCAATAATACAAAACTGTATGGGAGGATGCAGTTCTCTGGGTGATGGATGGAGCCTGGCACCTCTTGATAATCCTCTTGCTGAGCAGGAACCTCAGAGATCTGCAGGTGGATGAAGAGAGTGTGGCTGGGTCCCAAGCCACCATTTGTGCCATTCCTGTATATTGCTTCTTCAGGAGGTAAGAGATGAAATACCTCTGATCTTGGTCCAACTTGCTCCATAGCCTGACTCTTGGTAAATCTCTGCATTTCAGCAAGGTCTGTCCTAAGGCCTACCAGGGGTTGCACCTGCAAAACATGTGCTCCCCCACTTTTCTCCAAGGACTGCAGTGCTTTTGTAAGCAAGATAGTTAGCCTTCTGTTATGCTCTCATTCCAAAGGCACCAATTATGCGTAAAAAAAATCCACTGAATGTAAATAAGATAATGGCTAAAACAAGAGCTATTAAAAACCAGCAAGATGTGCAGCCCTACATTATGCATATTTCCTCAAGAGTAAGTGCTACTACATCACTACTGACTCAATGAAGATTTACTTGGGAGTAAAACACAACTTGCCAAGAGTTACTAAACATGTACTGAATCAGGCTATTGATCTTAAACATTTTTTCTTTAGATCAGGCTGCTGGGGGTACATAATGTTCTCTTAACTGCCTCTCACCAAAATGTAATAATGCAAAATATACTGTCAGCATTATGATGTGTATATATACACATCAAAGTACATTAGGCACACCCCCTTTTTAAAAATAATAATTCAAAGCTCTATAAATAACTTTAAAAACCATCCATTGCTGATGGCTAGCAACAGAGAGAAGGCAAAAAGCCTTTTCTATTCCAGTGTGGTGATCGCCAGGAAAGTCTGGAGTGTTTTTCCTATGAGTTGTCAAAGCACGATGAGTCACAAACCCCGCCCTGCAAGCTTCGGAGCAGCTGATAGACAAGGCCTCTCTCTCCATACCAGTCTGCTCTCGATCTCTCTCCCCCCCAACTATTTTTTCTCTTTCTTAATGCACTCACGAGGTGCACGCGCGGGGGATCTCTCCCTCCTTCCGCCCCCCTTGCAAACGCGCAGCAACCTCCAAGCAGCGCCTTCTGACTATCTTAGAAACGTGCAGGGAAGGAAGATGCTGCCCTCCGACTTGTTCTCCGTGCAAGGCGCCCAGGCGAACCCCTTGCACAACGCGCTGAGCGTCCGCAACGGGAACCTGCAGCGCTGGGCGCAGCGGGGCAGGAAGAGGCGCGCGCGCGCCCCGGGCTGCCATTTGCAGAGGGCGCCCCCTGCCCCGGCCGGTCCCCGGGGAGCAGCGCTTTGCAAGGCGCGGAGGCGCAGGAGAAAGACTTACGGTGCTCAGATAGGCCCCCATGGCTTCCTCCGGGGTCCCGCCGCCTCAGCCACCAGATGCAACGCAGCGGGCAAAGAGCGCAGCCCAGAAACCTCGCTCTCGCCCGCCCCTCCTTCGCGCGCTCATTTGCCTCCGAGGCCCGTCCATCACAAGGACTGGCGCAGCCTGACTCGCTGGGAAGAAGCGGCGGGCGGGGTTTGGATACCGACTGCGCCTTGATTTGTGGAGGAGCCAGAGGGAGCTCTTTACGCATGGAAAGAAAGGAGGGAGGGAGGGAGGGGCTGCTGGGGCTGCTGGGAATTGGAGTCCGCTACCTGAATTAGGCGGCGCTGTGGGTTAAACCCCAGAGCCTCTTGGGCTTGCCGATCAGAAGCTCGGCGGTTCGAATCCCCACGACAGGGTGAGCTCCCGTTGCTCGATCCCTGCTCCTGCCAACCTAGCAGTTCAAAAGCACGTCAAAGTGCAAGTAGATAAATAGGTACCGCTCCGGCGGGAAGGTAAACGGCGTTTCCGTGCGCTGCTCTGGTTTGCCAGAAGCGGCTTAGTGGCCACAAGACCCAGAAGCTGTATGCCAGCTCCCTCGGCTGATAAAGCGAGATGAGCGCCACAACCCCAGAGTCGGTCACGACTGGACCTAATGGTCAGGAGTCCCTTTACTTTTTTACCTGAATCAGAGATGTCAGTGCGCGCCTCAATTTTATGCAATGTTTCATTCAGAAATAAGTGCCACTCTCTGAAGAAAGTTGTCACAACTAACTTCATTATGTTATGTTATATGTGTATTCATAAGAAGGGCAGTGCACAACATAAATGTACAAAATGAGAACACAAAGTACATAAAACAAGAACAAAAACAAACCAATAACCCCACCTCCCCCACAACACATATAATGTTAATCAGCCAAAGGCCTGGCTAAAGAGGAACGCTTTTATCTGGCATCTAAAGGTGCCAGGCAAACCTCCCTGGGGAGAGCATTCCACAAGTGGGGGGCCACCACAGAAAAGGCCTGTTCTCCTGCTGCCACCCTCCAGACCTCATGTGGAGGAGGCACACAAAGGAGCGTCTCAGAGGCAGGTGCATATGGAAAGAGGTGGTCCTTGAGGTATTTGGTTCTGAGCCATTTAAGGCTTTACAAGCCAAAATCAGCACTTTGGACTGGGCCCGGAAACTAATTGGTTGCAGGTGCAGATGGACTAGGATCGGTGTAATATGCTCAAACCATCTTGCCCCAGAGAGCAACCTGGCCACTGAATTCTGCACCACAGAAGTTTCGAACCATATTCAGAGGCCGCTTCACATATAATGCGTTTCAGTAGTCTGGCCTAGAGGTTACCAGAGCAGAGGCAACAGAAGTTGGGCTGTCCCTGTCCAGATAGAGATGCAGCTGGGCCTGGAAGGCACTCTGGGCCACTGAGGCAACCTGAGCCTCAAGCAACGAGGATGTATGTAATATGATATTACTTATTTCCCTGACAGGCTCCAAGCAGCTTACAGATATAAAAATAAGAACTGCTAAAAACATTCACATTAAAAAAAAATCTATGCATGACGTAGCTTAAAGAAAAGGTTTTTTTCCTGTCTTGTAACACTAAAACTCATGGACATTTCAACAAAGCTGAATGCTGGAAGATTTGGAACAGATAAAAGAAAGCGTTTCTTCATGATAGCCGGGAGTTCACGGTGAACCATGAGGCTTTCCCATAGTCCTTTGTAAACATCCTCATGTGGAAAAGTTAACAGTGGGCTTTCACATGCCCCCGCCCTTGCATTTCTCCTTCAAGCTTTCTGAAAATGGCCTCATGGGCCCAATGGAGGCCATATTTGTTCTGTTGGTCTGAGGCTCCCCACTCCTGACTTACAACTTGCTTATAGGGCAAGATTCTGTCACTTACAGGTCAGGGAAAGGATTCCTTCCTCCCCTTGCAGTGATAGTCTGCTGTTCTGACTCGTGAACCAGCTCACTGGTTGTGTCTTCACTCCCAGAACTATATTTTTTGGGCACAATGTAAAATGCCCATTATACAGACATACAGACACCTGCAGCCCTCCTGTTAAAGTCAGTATTGCCAGGCACCTAAATCCATGCTACTTCTGTTCAAGCCAACCCCTGGAGTCATCTGCCTTTGATATGCCTCCTCCTTATTGTCACCTGCCTTCTCTTAATGGGCAAGCAATGGCCAGGCTTAGGAGAAGGAGGGGTCCTCTATGGTTCTCTCCACACTTGACCAGTGAATGGGCAGAGGCTGCAACAGCAAGAGGAGGTGGACTGACCCCCACCTGTTGAGTATGGCTATTGTGGAGACACTAGTCAAAGTGCCTTCTTAAAACATTTTCAGTCATATGATTCACCACTAGATGTCACTTGTTTCCCAGTAATACAAAAATAGTTTTCAATGGAGCCACATAACAGACCTACAATTTAAAACTTGTAAGTGATGCTGATCAGCTTTTTTAATGTAAAAAGATGTTAAACAATTACTCCTTACCAATAAACTTTCAATATAAAAAATGAAATAAAGCTCTAAACCAAAATAATCTTAACCCTACATATGTAAATAATATACAGTGGTACCTCAGGTTACACACGCTTCAGGTTACATACACTTCAGGTTACAGACTCCGCTAACCCAGAAATAGTGCTTCAGGTTAAGAACTTTGCTTCAGGATGAGAACAGAAATCGTGCTCGGTGGCGCGGCGGCAGCAGGAGGCCCCATTAGCTAAAGTGGTGCTTCAGGTTAAGAACAGTTTCAGGTTAAGTACGGACCTCCGGAACTGTTAAGTTGTGGGCGAACATATCAGACGACACAGTGATTCTTCAAACAGCTCTTCTTTATTCTGAGGCCAGAACTGAACTGAACTGAAGGGCTCAGTCACCCTGCTTATATAGAGCTCCAGTACCTTGTTACTGTAACAACTTTCTAAAACTATTCAGTCACTGAATGTGACTTTCGATCCTTCATTTGCATACAAACTATCCAATCACTGAACGTCACTTTCGACCCTTCATTTGCATAACTATCTACAGTATCCCCCTACTGGCCCAGGGTGAGAACTTCAGTACATAACAGGAACAAATTAAGTACTTAACCTGAGGTACCACTGTACAGTAAGCCTGCAACTTACACGGGGGTTACGTGTTTATGGAAGACAATTTTACTCAGCTACAAGTGATCGCCAAAGAAGAAGACGTTCAGGAGATCGTGCCTAAAGTCAAAATTGCATATAATCAAAACATACTGAGCTCAACGGTGCAATTACAAAAGCCCCCCCCCAATTCCTGCCCCTCGCCCCCCTTTTCAATCCCTGCCCCCCCATCTGTCTCTCTTTTTGCCAAGCACATAAAGCTGAATGTGCACAAGTTAAATGCATGTAAATTGTGGGCTTACTATAGCTTAATCATCATAATAGTATTTAAGATTCATTTCAATATGATTGATATTATTATGCTATATATATATACAGTGGTATCTCGGGTTAAGTACTTAATTCGTTCCAGAGGTCTGTTCTTAACCTGAAACTGTTCTTAACCTGAAGCACCACTTTAGCTAATGGGGTCTCCTGCTGCCGCTGCGCCGCCAGAGCACAATTTCTGTTCTCATCCTGAAGCAAAGTTCTTAACCTGAAGTACTATTTCTGGGTTAGCGGAGTCTGTAACCTGAAGCGTATGTAACCCGAGGTATCACTGTACATAATCCAGTTTGCAAACTAGCCTTAAATTTTTGTTGTAAATGTTTCAGAACAAAGGATTTATAGATGTCCACCCTAATTATAGACCAATTAAGTGAAACACTGATTATTCATTAAACAATATTTGATTGGACAAGCAATGTGCCACTAGGAAGGATGTCACTTCACTTCTCATCTGACTCACATTGTTTAAACTTCCTCAAGGTTTGTCCAATTAATTAACAATTCAGAGGAAGAACCGTAACACTTCTTTTTCCCAGTTGGCTATGTGGTGTTGCAAAACTAGAAGGCAGAACGGCACATTATAGGCTCATGTCTGTATTAGGAGTCTGGCCACTTCTTTTCCTAGAGCAGTCTTGGGGGAGGGAGGGATTTGCTCTAGGCGTGGGGAGAAGGGCTGCTGCTCTTAACCAGCATTTTCAGGCCCTCCAAGTGTCCCTATTGCTCAAAAGCGGCCGCAGTTCCGGGATTTACAGAAAGAAGCCATCCCAGTTTTCTCATTATGATCACGGAATGTACCCACTTTTCCTTAGGCATGTCCCTATTTTCATCAGAGAAATGTTTTGGGCGGGTATGAGAGTATGCAATCCACCTAAGCCCAAGGAGTTAACGGTAACTATACAACCTTAGGAAAGACCATTATGAAGACAAGCCCTGTATAGGAAGTTTTTTTATAATGCCTTAATTTTTTGTATGTTTTTATATATTTGGGAAGCCACCCAGCAGTAATAAAAAATTATTATTTATTATAATTGAATAGAATGTCCCTGATTTTCACCGGAGAGAAATGTTGGGATGGTATGCATTTGAATACTATCGCGTGTGCGAGAGCGGCAGGCATTCAAACTGCGAGTAGCAGATTTGGAGCAGATAGATGGACAAGTGAGCCGAACACATTTTGGCACCACCACACCCAAAGCATCTCAAGGCCATTCTGCCCCCCCCCCTTCAAATGTCTCTTAAAAAGTGGCTGTGGGACTTTGGAATTTCTGGAGTCAAGGGAACTGGATAAGGCTAAGGCTGCAATGCTATGCATAGTTATGTGGGAGCAAGCTCCCGGGGGGGGGGGGGGCTTTCTTCCAAGGAAACCTACATAGGATTCCTCAGCATGAGGACAGAGATAAAGGTCTGAAAATTGAAACGAAGTGCACAATCCATTCGAACCGCTCAGCCATTTTGAATATGCCAAATGGATGAACTTTGCTTGGATTACTGTATAGCACAGACTGTTTGCTCATTTGTGATAAGTATATTTCAAAAGCATTGCTGATTGGAAACTTCCAGGGAGGAAAAAACTGTTTTTCTCTCAACACATAGAATCTTCACTTTCTTCAGGTACAAACTGCACCACACACCTCAGAAGAGGAAAGGAAAATACTGCCAATGGGTACAGTTCAAAGGCCCATCAAAAGAAAAGTTGTTTTCCCAGGTACCCTTT